ATAAAGGTAGGTATACCTACATTTTAATGAAACATATTATAACGTACTACAGTATAGGCCAAGGTAAAATATTATACCTATGCTTGAAATCAAGAATGAAATCATTGACAAATGACAATTTATTAAATTATATATCTCGTCTATATTTAATTGAAAATAATTATTGAACAATATTAAACAGAACCTAACAAGACTTCTGAGGTTATTTTTAGACATTAAGGTTACGAGAATAAAAAAAGTATTATATACCTGATATAGTAGTAGCAGGTTGTAGGTATCAATACAAATGAATAATCATGTGTAATATAATATATTGTAATTCTAAATAATAGTATAAGAAACATTTTTTTTTCGAAATGATAACAATTAGAAGCTTAGGTAGCAATTTTGAAAATTCTGAAGACTATTTGAAGTCTTCAGAACTAAAATTATTAGCACAAATGGGTACAATAACACTAATAACACTTATATCACTCTAATTATAAAATAAATACAGAAAAATAAGGTTAACCGTATTCATGGAATATCGACTATTTATGGAATATCGACGCTTAACTATATTACCTATTATTTCAAATGTGCCAATTTAAAATTATGGTGAATTCACCGATTGCGATGTCATGGTGATCTGGAAGGTAGGTTTAAAAAAAAATTTTATTCTATAATCGATATTTTACTAAACGAGTATACTTTTTAACAACTATTATAAATTCATATTGGTCGAATACTAGACATTGGAAAAATTTTCGAGTACTCGACTGGATTAAAAAGTTGTTAATACAATTATTAAACGTTTCACTATTTATAAAATTAAAGTATAATAGTATTTTATTGAAAAATAAATTTTAAAATTATAAATAACTGAAAGAACCTAAATATTTTCAATAAGAATACCAGGACGGTTGATACTTGATAGTTTAAATTTATAACAATAGTCCACTCGACCTTACTCGAATATTCGGAATTTGTAGAGTACTAGACTGTTTGATTACTCAAATTATGAGCTCAAAATGAACTCAACTTGAAATATTTGAAACTCGACTCAAAATCAAAAAATAATAGTCTCCCAACACTAGAAATTATATATAATATATAAATTTGGATCATTAATTAAATCGTACTGTCTCAATAAATACTCTACTCACGAAATACGGCCAATTTATTCCATAAAAACTATTTTTAAATATATTTATACATGCATACTAGACTAGCACTAAGTATCTATACTAATTTATATATTACAAAGTTTTGACTAGTTAATTATACATAATATGTATAATAATGACTAGCGATTATGAAGAAAAAATATACATAGGTATTATGTAATATTATAACAAATAAAATTATGAACTGAAACTTAAATCCATCTTATCATAACAATTGTCCATTACTCATTTTAAAATAATATATTGACATGAAGTAAGTACCTATATACAAAATATAAGTTAATCAATGCATTTTTCCTTGACCTACCATACTGTCTTACGGGAATATGTTTGTTGTTATTATGACAAACCAGTTTTTTTTTATAAATAAAAACGAATTAAATCAAAACGTGAAAGTCCCAAAATTCTTGAGTTCTTAATAAATAACCAAGTACTACTTCCAAGTCGATAATTTTCGAATAAGTGTCAGATAGAGAGTGCCAATAGAGAAACGCCCTAAATTGTATTGTAGGTATGTCATAGATATCTACGTCGTTGTTTATTTAATGACCGAGACATCGAATTTATCAAATTGAATGCATTTATTTGCCCATCATAAAACTTACTTATAATATGTAATCTGTAGTTCTAATCTGAATTATTTATTAAAGAATATTGTTTTAGGTATCCTTTATTTTATTATTATATTTGGATAGTAAATAGTGTTTAATTTTTGATTAATAATTAATAAAATATAATATCTCACTGAGAAATAAAATTGTGCTATTGATAACAACTTTTTGAATATAAAATGTACCTAAGAATAAAATTAATTTGGTACTTTTAAAATTGTGTGTAATTATTTCTTAACCCATGTATTAGGTACATATTTTTAATCAAAAGAAAAAAATTATATATTTAATATTAGTTATTTTTCCGAAAATGTAAGTTTCATTATGGTTTTTATTTAAGAATAAATCGATTATGTAATAGAATCAAAATAACACGAAAAACGTAATAATAATGAGCATGACAATTCTAACGCTTTGATTAGCACCATAGAAACGATTAAAAAATTGTGACGAATTAGTGTTTTACAATATAAAATATCCAGACTGACAAACCGTCTCAGAATCGTTTTTCGTATACAATGATATTATATCATTGAATTCAAATTTAATAGAATAATACTACGTTAATTTTATTTTATTAAGCTATGTATTTAGTATTTTAGTATATATATATATATATATTTAGTGGAGTTTAATTAATAATACATTGTTTAACGTTATGGAGTATGAATAAAACAACTGTGCTACATAAATTATGTTAATTTTATTAAACATTTGTTGGGATTTCGATAAAAATAAATTCTTAAATATTTTAAATACTAATTCTATTTGCTCTTCAAATGGTAAGTTACTACCTATTTATCTACAGCTCTCATATTTAATTAAAATGTTGTTACACATACATTAAAGGTAATAAAATTCGAGAATTACTTTATTCGGAATTTATCACAATATAAAAAAAAATGGATAGTGTTTAATTTGAATTCAATAATTTAATATCATTGTATACGAAAAACGAATCTGAGCGGACTCGGTTTGTCAGCTGAGGATATTTTATATTATACTTCTATTGTTATTATTAATATGGTAGACGATAAGTTGAATTAAAATTATTAGTATATTATCTTATTTGTATAAACTTTAGAAGTTTCAAGTACCCAAGAATAATATTTTTAAACTACAACTCAAAATAAAAATTTAATTTAAATATCTAATTTCATCCAAATTCGATATAATTATAATAATAAAATAACTATAAAAGACTGTGTTTATATATTTTTTAGATTTTTTGGTCACAGTTTGAACTACTTACGTGGAACCTTGTGTTAGATTTCCAATACTTAGCTAAAAACATTTTATAACGGCCAAATAAATTGTAAATTATAAATTTGATAAATATTGTTAAAATTAGAACTTTAAATGTAAAAAAAATCTTGACAGTGTATTTTTAATATTTGTTTACTGATATTGTAACAATGCGTGAGAAGCCTTGTACTAAATTTTCTAGCTTTTTGACACAACAAAGAAATTGAAAAACAAATTAAAAATTGAAAATTTCCTTAAGCAGCTTAATTTCCACTAACAAAAACTTAGGAGAAACCTGTATTACATTTTCACGTTTTGTATCGGCATTAATTTTAAAAAAAACTACGACCATCGAAAATTTCATATTAGAGTTGAACATGAGTCAAAATATTTTGAAAATTGTAAGGTGTATATAAAATATCACCTAATATAAACATTCAGTGACAATTTCATGTTTCTACGGTAATATTTTTTAAAGTTACACAAAAAAAACAAAATTGATTTTGTGTAAAAATTCCAGTTTTTCCTTAATTTTTTTTCCTTGAGCTTTTGGAAATTACTGGGAATTTTAAATTTTGACCTCCCCATTTTACTCACTAGATTCACTTTCCACTGGAGAAGACACGGAAGTTTAAAATCCAATTATTTTGACTCCACTCAGAATCTAAATTAACCATCATCTGATGAACGAAATAACGAAAGTGGTTGTGGCGTGTGGAAAATTAAATATAGAAATGTAGATTACATGCATATATTTATTTCTGTAAGTTGAACTTACTAAGTTCAGTACTATGCAAAATATATAATAAATTAATTTTATACTATAGGAATAAGAACTAGGAAGGTACAAAGTACAATATTATTTTTAAATTTATGTAATTTTTTCACTTTCATTCGTGCTGTGAGGCATTTTAATAAAATATTAAATGTCATGTTATTTTCATTTGGAATTCTCTTTTACATTTTCTCGTGTTTGTATGAAAATAATATTATGATATTACCTTAAATTTATGCATATTAATGAACCTGCACCTACCAATAATAAAAAATATTTTGATTTCAAACTTATAATACTAATTTAGGTAGATACGTTTTTATTTTTAATAACTATTACCCACCAACGTATGACAATTGTATACACAACTTTTTATAATATAAAATTGTAAATGAATAGATTTCATTTAATTTAGTTATATTGTTTTTAACTGTGAAATTATTGTACACGTTTTTATAATTCTATAAATATTTTAGTACCTATAGATAGTTTTTATGGATGCTCCTACAGCAACGTAACATGCTATTGTGTTTCAAAAATTCTAAGGACGTTATAAATATTTTATGTTTTATTATTATTTAGTTTTTAGACTATACAAATGATTAATGACAATCGAATTATATAGGGATGTTATTAGGTACCTATTCTACTTGTCAAGAGATAAGATTAGGACCATTATTGAAATTAAAAAGAGATTAAACAGTATATACATCTACTACATGTCGATATTTTAAATAAATAATACAAATATTTAAATACTAAATAGTATAACATATTTGATATTTCTATGTATTATTAACATACAAAATATTAAATCAATACAGTATATGAGTACCTATAGGCTATAGTATTACTTTTGAATAACTTACTGCCGTCAGTTAATCAATTATTAAATTGTTCTACAGAATCCATTTTAATATATTTACGATCAATATAATTAGAGCAACTGATTTTACGTTGACTCAACTCATTTACTTACCTCAAGGTAATTTTGTTAACTGACTTTGCCTACGTTAGGTAATTTATATTAGGAGATATGTACAAATTTCCTAAATTTAAAACAATTTTGATAACTGTACATATTCATTATTGTAACTGTATTTTTTTATACTTATTAAATTTGCTTTACCTACTAAATAATGTTTTTATATGTAACGAAGTATAATTTTTTAACGCATTGACATACTACTAATAACATAGGAATTATGTTATTATTTCGATGGTGGAAAGTGTATACTCACTAATAAACTGCAGCACAAACAGAACGCAGAAACCGAAAATGATTGATAAAAGGTGCAGGAATCCTGACTGCTTGTGCCTGTCTAACACCTCAAAAAACACGACGTAAAGGAGCGTGCCGGCAGCCAGCCCCTGCAGTACGACCGCTACCCGACCGGGGGTTCCGTCGACCGTGCCAGCGCCGGCGTTCTGCACAAGCACCATACCGGCGGCAATTCCCAAAGGGGTGACGGCCGCGAACGTGGCGACGTACGTGACGAGCACGGACCGCTGGGTTTTGGACCAGGCCAGTTCCAGGCCGATGCAAAAGGCGATGATGAGCTTGTGCGTGGCGACGGCTGCGAACAGGTACCAAGTGTGGTCAACACGCTCCTCCAAGCCGATGGCTAGACCTTCGAATACCTCGTGAAACGACAGCGCCAGTACTGCGAACAGACCGCGAAATGAATTTTCGCCTCCACCGTGGACTGTTTCTGGCTGGCTCTCAGTGCGATCACCGTCAGACATGTTATTAGCACGAGACCCGCCGCCGTCTTCCAGTGACCGGTACCGTTCCCCAGTGGCCTCGTTGCCTCCTCCATCGGCTTCGCCACAACCACCTGCTCCCGGAGACCCGGCCAGCGATGCCCGTGGTATGGACACGGCCCGCCGCCTCAGGCTCATTGTTCGCCGCAGCGTCTCATTGGCAGTGCTGCGGTGGTCCAGCATTGAATGCACGATCTCGTCCACAATGAACACCATGAAGAACCCGGCGCAGAATATCAAATCGCCAAGGTTCTCGGCCCCGTGGCCGGTGGGCAGCTGCCCAGCCCGTTGCAGCCTATCCACGGCGTCCCGGACCTCGGGCTGCAGGTGCAGCAGCGTGGTAAACAGTAGCACACCGCCGCCGAAGCACAGCATCAGCGAAACGACTGTGGACGAACCAGCAGCAGCGTGCCCGGCATGTGAGTGGCCAGCGTGCGTTGGTTGCGAATCCTTACTGCCCCCGCCCCATCTTTCGGTCAACTTGATGGGCAGTACGCCCAGCCCGAACGATCCTAGCCCTAGCACGATCATGGCCACCGTCTTTGCCGCGGTCAACGGGTCTGCGAGCGCTGACAACATCTCCGCGCCGAAATCCTTAATCGGCGAAACGTATCAAGACCGTGTTGTTATTGGTGCTGGTGGTGTTTTCGGTAGGTATTTCTTTAAAAACTTCTAACTTGTTGTTACCCACCTAGTTAGATCACGAATATTTTACTGCGTTAAGCAAACAAATAAATAAAAAAATCGAACTCACGTTTAGGTGACTTTAACGCAACGATATCCGCGTTGGTGTGTAGTTTACACTGTTAATAATGCGCGTATACATACGTGGATGACGTGCCAAGTGCACCGCAGAAACACGGTCTAGTCATATAATATACCGTGCACGCCGTTCCAACGACAATCGTTTTTTAGCTATAGCGAGTAGCGCGCACCCGTGCACCACACCACCTCCTACTCGTACGCCGGTAACTGCGACTGCGGCGCGTAGAGATGTGTGGCGTCTCCGTCGACGGCGGCAATAATTGACCACCACCAACGCCGCCCATGGTATACTCTCTCTTTCCGTCCTTCTCTCGACGAGTATTTTTTTCTCCATCGATCAAAGGTAGGAATACCTACACATATAAATATATAATACCTACTACGTTTCGCCCAGTCAATTCGCGGAAATATTATAGACGAAAAAATAATTCCGATCAAATTACATTCAGCTCGCCGCCGATCGTTAAATACCCATTTAAACGATATACCGTCTACCTACTAACATTTGTATACACTGCATAGATGTATACACCAACAGGACATGTCTGGGTCGACAGTTTACTGGTCGAGACGTGTATAATATTTTATTAATTTTATCGTTGACATTTATATACGTTTAAATATATGGCGTTTTATATATGAAATACGAATAACTTATTTTATAGATACTTTAAATTGGTAACCTTAGATATCGTATCTGAACGATTTTCTCCTAAATAAGGCACTACCTATTGTAAACTCTGTAATTTATACCGTCTCCGTCGTGTTAATGTTCTGACTTCTGGTACAATTCATAAACAAATACTATTTATTTTGCCATTATCGCTCATTTATGATCGCTGAAAAATAATTCTTAATTTTTATTTTTTTAATCTGTTACAAAATAATTGATGAATTTGGAAAAATAAAAAATAAAATTTATCTGTTGAAACTATCTGCTTCAGTAGAGACTAGAAGCCTCCCAGTGGAGGCCCAACGGCAATTCTTACATAAATTATAAATATTTAAGCACAGTGTATTTATTACACCTCGTATATATGTATATTGTTATCATAATACACATATATATTGTTGGTTATTTTTTATTTAAAGACTACCTAATTGATTATAATCATAATTTTTTTTTAATATTACATGAACAAAACAAATTTTTTAATTATCTTAAATAATTATTTTAAAGTCTTATGGTAATATAATAAAATAATTTCCAATGTCAGTATACCTTGATAAATGTTATGAAATGCTCATAAGTCATAAGTCATAAAACAAAAAGTATTTTACATTCAATCTTACATTTTACATACAAATTTCAAATTAACAAACAACAGTTACAAGTGTTGTCAAGTTACTGCACTAATGTAGATACTGACTACTGACGGAGCAAATTATAATATATATAAACTATAATAATGGGTACCTACTTACCTACATTTCTTCACCTATAAGTCATTGTATTTTTTCTTTGTAGAAATATGATTATGATACTAAAAATGACCAGTCAAGTATTATATTATATAACGATTAAAATATTACGGCCACCATCAATTTTAAGATCGGTAAAAAGCTATAATATTATTCTTAGAATGAATGAAAACACTTGGAGTAGGTATGCCTCCTCGGCCGAATAATCTTCACACAACCTTGATATAACATTTAAATGTTATAAATATACATCAAATGTGACATTAACGAGTAGGCAGGTAATAGGTATACTTGAATAAATATCAATTCAATATTTGAACAGATACTATAGTGACAAATTCAAGATTCCTATGGCCTACCAAATAAAAAAAATTGGGCAAGTGGGCGTAGCTCTGCTGTACCTACTACTAAGCTACAAGTGGCCAGTTTGTCACTGTAATGGATAGTGTTAAATTTGAATTCAATGATATAATATCATTGTACCTATAAGAAAAATGATTCTGATCGAAGACCGATAGGTTAGCTTATGATATTACCAAGTGTATTTACCCAATGATATAAATGTGAATAAAGTAATTTATATATACTCGTATAATATTAGAGTTTATAACCCATTTAAGTGGAACCTTGATATACATTTTCAATCCTTAGTTATAAAAGTTGAACATTTTATATGAAAATGTAATTAAACAGCTCAACTATTTGGAAAATGTTATGATGTATAGAAAATGCCAATATAAACATTCAGTGAAAATTTCATATACCTACTGTCATTTGTTTTTGAGTTGCACCAAAATCCAAAATCGATTTTTTCGAAAATAGATTTTGCGTAAAAATTCCCGTTTTCCCTTTATTTTTCTTTGGTTATTCATGGCGCTTTTGAAAACTACTGGACAATTTTTACTTTTGATCCCCCAAAGTGCCAACTAGATTAGCATACAAATATGATATACATAGGTACATACATTACCTACATACAGGGTTGCAAAAAAAACAGTTTTTTTTAAAAAAAACGTTTTAAACGTTAAAAACGTTTTAAACAATGTTTTTTTTATTTAATACATTTGTTTTAAATGTTGTTTATTAATGTGTTTAAAACGTTTTAAACAATGTTTTTTTTGTTTAATACATTTGTTTTAAATGTTGTTTATTAATGTGTTTAAAACGTTTTAAACAATGCCTTTTAACGCCATTTTTTGTTAAAACTAAACTATAAACAACTTTTTTCAATAATCATTTTTTTACTGCAGCACTGCAGGGCAGTAACAAAAAATTTCTAAAATATTTGTTGGATTTAATTTAACTGTAAATAATTGTAGTACAGACGTACAGTACACTAACACTAAAAAAAATAACAAAGTTTAAAATATGACCAAAAACTGTATGTATTTTAAATTTACATTTTGTATAAACAATATTAATTACTAATTAACCATATACTCTATAGTCAATAGTCAATACTCATAAGTTTAAAATTTTAAATAAAAAATTGTTTTAACTTTAAACAACATTCAACATCAACACTAAGAAAAAAAGAAAAATAAAGAATCATAGTTACCATTGTTACCAGTTACTTACATGGTTACATCTACATGAAAATTAACGAAGTTACTTTACTTCTTTACCATGTGTAAACAGTAAACACTAAAGATTAAAGACTAAACACTGTATAGTGTATACTAATTACTAATTATATAGCCATATAGGTAATATATTTCACTTTTACTTATAAGTTATTAGTTTGATTTTTGGTATTTAAGTGTTTAAATATTGTTACCAGTTTTGAGGCCTTTGCGACTCCTAGTCTATTTCGAGTTTTAGAATGTATATATCCAAAGGTGGAGAATACGCGTTCAATCCCAGCAGAGCTACAGATAGCAGTAAACAATTGTTCAACCAAATATTCCATATCTTTTGATAATTTAGACTGTTTTTTTAATGATGTCCACCATGTCAATGCTGATATATTATTTATTGCATTATCATTAAACAAATACTCTTTAAATGGTAATGACTGTGCTTGAAATGATATAATTTCATTCACAACATTAGGATGATATAGATTAGCATAATTAAATGCTGCATCATGCTGTTCTTCGCTTAATTGTAAGCCTCTATACTGTGGATGAAGAAGATTTGCTAAAAAATGAGCTGGAGTCATTGCCATGTTAAATCTGTTTTTGAATTTTTGTATATCATTATCATCACATTCACTTTCAAAGAATGTTTTAAGTCTTAACCAAACTTCAACTGATTCTCCAATAGTACAAGAATTTTTTTGAGTAATGTCCAAAGCAGTTGATATATTTTTTAATTTGATCAAGTATGTTTCTGTGTTATTTTTGAGTTCAACATCATGAACTAATTTTAGAATTTTGTTTTCAATTGCTGACCTATTTTCAGAACAAACTTGATAAATTATATGCCAGTTATCAATATATGATTTTAAGCAGTCATATAATGTATTCCATCTAACATCAATAGGTAAGATTAGTGCTTTTCCACCAAGTGCTTTATACTTTGCGGCTGGTAAATGATGATACTTAAAATACTTCACAATTTCTTTCACATTATCCTTAATACTTTTTTCATTAACATCATGAGCAAGCAAATTAAGAATATGTGCTGAACACCCATAAGTTAGTATGTCAAAATATCCAGAACTTGTACTCCCATCGTTTAGTTCAGAGTTTGATAATTCTTGTCTCATTTTACTCATGTTGGCGGCATTATCCGTTACAACACTTCTAACATCACAACCAATTTCTTTACACTTCTTCACTGATTCAATTATTATTTTTAACAAATACTGAGAAGTGTGACTATTTTCTTGTGTTTCAATAGTGTCAATGAGACAAACAACATCATCAGTTGGGCTGTAACATGAAATACAGATGATAGGTTCGTTGTGAATATTACTCCAACCATCCATGGCCAAACATACAGACTTTCCTTTTAATATATTTCTTATTTCCTGATCTATTGTTACAAATGTTTCATTTAACAATTTATTACCAATATTATCCCTGTTAGGAGGTATGTAACCAGGACGCAACATTTCAATCATACGTTTAAATTCTGGGTGTTCAACGTATGAGAAAGAAGAATTAGTAGCGTAAATGTACTTGGCAATCTGATGATCCAATTTAATTTTTTCTGATGGGCTTGTCCTGTAAATAAATGTATTCATAGATGATGACTTTTTGCACGAAGATGATCCTTCTAGGTTTAAACTCCCTCCAGTGTCAAGTAATGAACTTGAACAAGGACGTTTAGTTGTAGGTCCTCCTAAGCCATCTCCAGGATCTCCTACGAATATAAACAATTTAAAAATCACAAATATTTTTATAAAACTAATATTAATTAATAAAATTAAAAACAAATATTAATTGGTATTTGTCCAGTAAGTTAATACCTACTTTAATAAAGTTGTAAACTAAATTTAGAAACAAAAATAGAAAATTATAGGTAAATTCTAATAATGAATTTGTATTAGTCATTGACATAAAATTCTAGAAATTTAAACAAAAATCTTATAAATGAAAAACAAAAACTGTATAAATTGACTCTTAATTATTGAGTAAATTAATATTTATCAATAGGTAATGAAAAACAAGTAGTACCTAATACCTATAATACATGGATCATGTTGGTTAAAATGACATAATAATTTTATGAAACTCATAATAAACAATGATATTGCTGGTTCAATTTTTAGTATTTTTACAGATAAAAACTAAATAAATATTAAACGAATTGTACCTACGCTTTATTTGTGATTATTGCTCATTTTATATTTGCTACTGCACACAGCTTTATGCCCTGTATGTATTATTTATTTATTTTAATAATTAATATTAATGTTATATAATTATATTGTTATCATTGTTAAACAATACCTTCAGGATGGAATATTATTAAAAGTAAATAGTTATATATAGTACCTAGTTACCTAATGGTTGTACTGGTTATAGTATATCTATTACAATAAGTTTTTTTATATTGTTGTTTTTTAAATACTGTTAATATATAGCTATGTAGCATATAGGTAAAACAATATTATACTGGCTCACATGACTAACATGTTTTATATTTATATGCTCTATTATAATTTATAGTCAATTAAAATATATCATAATGATTAATTTGCTATTACACTATTACACTAACAATTTTTCAAATGAAACATTATTAGAGTAAGTTACTATGAATCAAGGCTGGGCAAGTTAATGATATTTTTAACTCTGTTAAGATATATTAAAATCTAAATTAAGTAAATAGTTAAAAGTTAATTATTATTATGTTTTATACTTTATTGGTACCTACTACCTAGTAAAACAATTTTTTTTTAATTATCATAAAAAAAAGGTAAATAAGTGTTTAAATTTAGAGGGCAACAAATTATATGAACCCAGGCCCCAGGGCATACAATTTCTAAATACGCCACTGCATACACCAATAGTCAATACACATACACCATACATAAATGTTTATATAATTATATTACATCTAACATTTAAATAATGTTCTTGATTACCTGTTAATTGATCGTTTTCTGGTTCATCAACAATTGAATCTTCTAAAATACTAATGCATTTGTTTTTATGCAATTTCATACGCATCACTAGACCAGCCATTTCCATCGAGCATTTTAGGCATTTAGCACGTGTTGTTTTATTTTTGTCTTTGATTTCGATGAAGTAGTTCCAAATTGGATCTTTCCTTCGCCCAGTCATCATATTAAGTCAACGGACAACGAGACAACGATTAACGAATAGTGATTGATTACTAATTAATACGTTAATATAACAGTTAAAACGACTTAGAGACTAGAGTCTATAAAAAAAATCAAAACATAATCAATATAGGTAGGTAACATAATACATAAGACTGTCAGAGACTCATAGAGACATAGACCGTTGACCGTTGTAAGTTGTACTGTTGTCTATTTTAGACTGTAGTTCATGATCTATTATTTGTGTGTTATAAATTTATAACGCGATCATCGAATCATGCGATAATATTAATAGTCAATAATGACAATAATACAATATATTCAATAACGACAATGACGACAATAATACAATATGCAGTCGTACCAATGTACGATACGTCCATGCCATAGCTATGTTATCTTATTTCAATTATTTTATTATTTGTTATGAATTATGAATTATGATAGTTAAAAATAAAACACTGTTTTCGTGTGCACGCCTTTCGTATTGCTGTTGTTACTTTGTTAGGTATAACTGTATAAGTGTATAACGCAGCTGGTTCATATAATCATATCTATTATTATAACTATGTAAGGAAAAGGTATTAAGGTCTATTGTTATTACTTAAGTTATTTCCCATTCTTAAACAAAATGCTATTGCATTTATAAAGAAACATTTAATATTCTTATCAATTCTGCATAGTTCATACGAATAATCTCTGTCGAAACTCGAAACACAAGTTATAACTTTATAAGTTCCATAAAATAAAATATTTTGTTATTTTTTTTTTTGTCTTAAATAAAATGTTTTAAACGTTTATGTATAAAACGTTTAAAACGTTTATGTATAAAACGTTTAAAACAAATCCACTTGTTTAAAACGTTTTAAACACATGTTTAAGACATTTTGTTTAAAACACTTTGCAACCCTGCCTACATACATTTATGCATTGTCACTTTCCTATTAGAAAACATACTGTTGAAGAAAATCTAAGCATTTTTACTGGCCTAAAAGGTGATGACAAACGCAAAAAAATTAAAATTAAAAATTAAATTTAAAAAAGTCGCTCTGCTGTACATTTGGTTACAAGTAAGTCACTGTAATGGACAGTGTTATATTTGAATTCAATGATATAATATCATTGTATAAGAAAAACAATTCTGAGCGAAAACGGTCAGTCAGCCTACGATATTACAAAGCATATTATTGTGAATAAAGTAATTTATATATAGCCTATTTACGTGGAACCTTGTTTTAAATTTTCAATCCTTAGCTATAAAAGTTTTTTTTTAAATTTGTTAAATTTTTTCAGTTTGAACTTTAAATACTTATAAAAAAAATTGTGGCTATGTATTCTTAATATTTTTCCACTGCTATTATAACAATATATCAGGAGCCTTGCATTAAATTTTCACGCTTTTTTAACAAACAAATAAAACTTTATTGATATTTATAGAAAAAAAAAACTAAAAATATTGTAAACTGACAATGTCCGTAAACATCTCAAAAAGAGTCAAATTATTTTCAAAATTGTATGATGTATAGAAAATGCTAATATAAACATAAAGTGAAATTTTCAAGTATCTACAGTCATTCGTTTTTTAATTACAATAAAATAAGAAATCGAGTGAATATCAAATGTTGTAAAAATATGAATTTCAAACGCTCATAAAAATTTAACTTGAGTTTCTTGTAGAAATTTTTTTTTTTTTGATAAAGGTAGACAAACTTATGAGGAATCTTGTATTACATTTTCATGTCTTAGATTTAAAAAGATAATTTTTTATGAATTTCTAACTCAAAATAATTTGCAAATTTTCGTCGTTTTTACGTATTTTGTCAATATTCGAACTTCAAATGCTTATAAAAAAAATTGTGACAATGGAATTTTTAATTTTTTCATCTGCCTTTGAAACAATATTCTAGGAGCTTTCTATTAAATTTTCAAGCTTTTTTAACCAACAAATAACATTTAATTGATATTTATAGAATAAAAAACTAAAAAATTGGAAACTGAAAATGTCTCTAAACAGCTCAATATAAGTCAAAATATTTTTAAAAAGGCATGGTGTATAGAAAATGCCAATATAAATAGTCAGCAAAAATTTCATGTATCTACGGTCATTTGTTTTAGATTGACACCAAACACGAAAATCAATTTTATCGAAAACAGATTTTGCTTAAAAACCCCTTTTTCCTTAAATTTTCTTTTGTTTTTCACAGTGCGATTAAAAACTACTATAAAAATTTTACTTTTGACCCCCCGAAAGTACCAACTAGATTCACTTTCCTATCAGAAAAGATACTGTTGAAGAAAATCCAAGCCCTTTCACTGTCTTAAAAGGTGATGACAAACACAAAAAAAAAAATTAAAAAAACACACATCATTGTAAAATTAATACATTCATCGTCACTCAAAATCTAAAAAACTAAAACAATTATTGATAACCGAAAATGTCCGTAAACAGTTCAAAACGAGTCAAAATATATTCAACATTTTATGCTGTATAGAAAATTAAAATATAACTTAACATTCAGTGAACTATTCATGTATCTACATTCTACAGTTAAACGTTTTTTAATTACAACAGAATAAAAATATCACTACATGAGAAATCGAGTGAATATCTAATGTCGTATTAATATGAACTTCATCAGTGGCAGGTTATAAGAGGGGGGTGAAAGGTGGACCGCCCCCCCTGGGATTTTTTTTTTAATTTAGTATATCGCAGACCCTCAACACCTATTCACAAATATTTGAATTTTATGATTTGATGCACATTTTGAGAAAAATATTACCTAAATAATTTCGTGTCCGGAATCAGTGTTTCCAAATATTCATTATATTCTTAGTATTATATTTGTTCACTACCTATTAGTGTTGCATCAGCAGAACGAAGCTTTTCTACGCTTAGAAGGTATCTATTATAAGTAATGTTTAAATCATTTGACTTTTGAGTATTAGGTATTGCTCAGTAGTCAATAAACATAAAAAAAAACTCTAATTTCAAGGTATATATTATTTTATTTATTTTAATATTTACTATAAGTGTATAGTGGTATACACTATAGTACTATACAATACAAATTATTAAGAAATTTACTTTTCTAGTGTGCTTCACTCTATTAAAATGTAATATATTATTTAAAAATAAGTACCTACTTAATTTTCTTTGCTTAAGCTTTTCATAGTGTATATTTTATAATACATGTATAAACTATATATATACATATATAAATGCTATGGGATGGTGGGAGGGTTGGTTTTATTTTCGCCCCCTCCTTGAACAGCATATATAACCGCCACTGAACTTCAAACGGTCATAAAACTTTAAATTGACTTTCTTGTAAACTTTTTTTTTTTTTATAAAGGTAGAAAAACTTATGAGGAATCTTGTATTACATTTTAAAATCTTAGATTTAAAAATAAACATTTTTATGAATTTCCAACTCAAAATAATTGGCACATTTTACGATTTTTACGTATTTTGTCAATATTTGAACTTCAAAAAAAACTTATAAAAAAAAATTGTGAGTATGGATTTTTAATACTTTTCATCTGCCTTTGAAAAGGCTCTTAATATACTAATATTGAGCCTTGTATTAAATTTTCAAGCTTTTTTTTACCCAAAAACTACAATTTTATTGACATTGATAGAAAAAAAAAAATAAAAAAATTGAAAATTGATAATATCCGTAAACAGCTCAAAACAAGTCAAAATATTTTGAAAATTTTATGTTGTATAGAAAATAACAATGTAAAAGGTAATCAATTTTAGTTACGCTGAAAACCTGTTACCCGTTTTTCTTAAAATTTTTTATTGTTTTTCTCGGCGGTTTTGAACACTAATAATATGGGATTTTTATCTCCTACTAGATTCACTTTCTCATCAAACAAGAAGTTGAAAATCGAACTATTATTTCCACTACTTTTCGTGTACCTACGTCCTACACAGACACAAAAAATAAAAAATAAAAAAACACATCATTGTTAAATCAATACATTCATCTCAGAATTTAAAACGTCGTTAAATGACCTCGGCGTTGATCCATTTTACTCGTATGGCCGTATATAGGTAAAAGAAAATGTTTTTAACAAATATTTGTTGATGTAGGAATGTTACATATATAGAACGCTATCAAACGTAATCTGAAATTCTTAAAAAGAAGACAATTGGTTATTTGGTTCTTCCAGTATAGATTTATACCAAATTAATTATCAAAACATTCCATTAAGTACGTATAGGTAGTATCCATGCTTATTAGTAGTACCTTCGCATCATTAGTACTAACCTATTACGGTGGCGCCGGATCACCCTCAGACCATTTTTCTACAAAAATTTGACTAACTGGCTAAGTAATCTACACCTAATTTACTTTTTGTTAATTGATGTTTTAACCATGGAAATCCTTAAATATTTTATATTTTAGGTAATTCTCAGTATGAAATATTGTAATTACTAATGGATGTATTAAATTTGAATTCATAATATAAGTAATAAATAAATAATATAATATTTATTTAAATACACCATACAATTTTACACGACACAGCATCTCCTCTCAGAATCGTTTTATTTATCATTGATTTCCATATTTTCATACAGAATGACATAGGTATACTCGAAAACTACTTTGCAGCGGAGAAAAAAATAATTTAGTGTTAGTAACTAGTTGATTGATTTTTAGTTGAATAAGCTATATTTTAGGTAAAACAACTTGTTCATTAGCTACCATTACTATTCTAATTATGTGTAAGTACTAGACGAGTATAAGCTAAACAATATTTGTATGACGACTACATTGATTAGTTCAATCAAAATCTGACTATAATATTTAATTAATTTAACTATATACAAATAGTTAGACTAGAAGCAGTGCCTCTCTAACCACCAATAACGCCCTAGGGCAACAAAATTTGACGCCCCTCTCCATCCCACAAAAAAAAATATTGACTTCTCATTTTTAGCTTATAATTAACCACGTACCTTAAATATGTTTAATACTTATTAATTAAAGGTTCCTACATATTTTTTTATTATTATTATTGGAATCATATTTATTTAATTAATGTACCTATTTATTTTGTTTCTATGATTTTTTCGAAGTTGACACCGATTTCATTATTCTGGGTACATTATAGAAAGAAATACATAGCTATTTTCACAAATTAGTATATTTTATTATAAATCATACGTTCTGCGTTTCTGCGTGTGGCGTGTAAGTAAAAAGTAATAAGTAAAAAACCTCCGCTACATAAGTAAAAAACCTCCGCTACTTGTACCAGCCCCCCATGTTTTTTGTCCTCCCAATGTCTGTATTCACCATAAACATTAACAAATAAATAACTCTGTTCTTATCAGCTTAACGACAACCTAACGGTGCCAACCGAAGTTATTAAAACGCCGATTAAACAGATTCGGCATAACAATGCACTACGATCTTGCCGGTCGCCCTTTATAAGTCGACCTCCGCGCTCTTTTTGTCTCTGTGTATTCTGTGTCTGTATAAATCGTCTGTATAAATCAGTATATGCTTATATTAATGTCTGTATTTGCGTGTTGAGACGGCCTTTGCCTCCACTAGGCTTTGGTACCCGGCCCGCCGGGTCACCGCGCCCTCGTGCTGAGCCAGCCTCCGGAAATTGGAAAATTGTAAAATTTGAAATCACCCGGAGGTCGAAGTGAGGTCTAGGTCGTGCTCGACAAAGTGGCGTAACCCCACTATAAAAACTAAGTAGTAGCCGGCATCTACTAAAACTGCCCTACGTTAAAAATACGTGGGGTGGTGGCACACCTTAAAACGCGGAGTCCCTCGCCCTGGAACCGGGCCATACTCCGCCGCCAAAACGTGGTGCAATACACGATAATCATACGACGCAATACACGACTTAATAACACTTAGCTCTAATGCGGAGGACTACCCGCCAGACAACTGCGGCCACCCACTCCGGCTCTAGCCAAATTGCGGGACCCTCCACCGGCCAGGACGACACCATGGTGACAGGAAGGACGTCCTCGACCAACACGACCACGACGCCAACTCCTATCCCACCCGAGAGACGAGAGACGAGAGACGAGGGACGAGCAACGAACAGACACACCGAGATAAGCCAAATCGCAGGCCCGTCCACCCGTGCCGATGTCCCTATCGACTCCCCGTCTAGGCTGCCAGTTCCTGTACGAACGACCGCCGCGTCCCCGACGGTCAGAGCTGCAGCCCGTAAGCAGCCAACCCTCTCCAACGGCGTACTATGTTTTTTCTACCCGGCGCCTGGGACGCTGAAATGCCCGTTTAACGACTGCTCCGCTGAGTTTCGTGCTGAAGTCTGGACAGCTGCGAAGCAATCGGTCGCTCGCCATGTCCGCAGCCTCCACACACTAGACCCAGAGGCCATCCACGTTGACTGCACCGGATGCGGCGTGAGACTGGGCCTGAGACCTGGTTCCCACAAATGCACAGTCCAGATTGCCGATGATGTGGCGAGAGCAGGAAGATTCGCCTGCACAATCGACGGCTGCGAGAAATCCTATCCCTCGAAGCAGGGCCTGGCCAACCACACGGCCAACCACCGGCGTCAAGATGCTATCGCTGCAGCATCGGTCCCGATGCCTCGCCCCGCTACTAGGCAGAACCGGCGCGCGAACCCCGAGCCTGCACATCATCGAGGCGGAGATGCGCGCATCCCGGTAGCGCAGGCACCGGCCGTTCCAAACCCCGTGGCATCGCCGAGGACCGGGGCGCCGTCCAACCGTATCCCGACAACAGACGATGCAATATCACCATCCGCTAACCCTGTCGCAGGTGGGTCTTCAGCCGCAAGCAACCCGTCAACTGCTGCCATATGCACTCCACCATCGACGCGCAGGACCATCCTGACCCCTAGACGGTCACCACGCCCCCGGCTACGCCCTGCCACGACCACCTCCTCACACCCAATAGAGGTCGTCGGCAGCCCAGAATTAGAACCGAATGTGAGCCCGAGGAGAATAGCTGCGCCCTCACACTCTTCATCTCCGTCATCCACCGACACCAGTCCTATCCATGACTCCGAACCTGATATGGAGGATGAGGACGCCGTGGACGCGAGCCCCATGAGGAGTGACGACGACCTGCCCACTCATGGTGAAGCACTAATTCTATCACCCGACGATACCACACCGATACACGTATTCCTCCCTCAACTCCGTGCCCTCGCCAGAGCCCCAACCACGGGGGCAACTTGGGACGAGTTTTGCGAGGTCATGGAGGGGGTGACCGCCTTGGCTGCCGCTACAGCCAAACTTCCAGTCAGGACAGAGGGTAGTACCAACAAGAGAGCGGCTGTAGACCCTGCCGACACCCAGGGCATCCAGACACTTTACCGCAGAAACCGGCGCAGCGCAATACGAGCGATCCTCTCTGGCGCGAACGTACCGTGTGGTGCAGGGATCCGAGATGCCACAGACCACTTTACCGGAGTCTGGTCCCCCTCCACCTGTGACGCCACGATCTTCCCCCGTACGGATGGACGCACTCCTGTCCCGACAGGGCCCTTCTCCGCGTGCGTTGTTGCAAAACGACTGAAAAAGTTTGAAAACACGGCCCCTGGCGACGACGGCCTCACGTATCATCATTGGAGACGCCTCGATCCGTCATGCAGTCTACTAACTGAAGTCATCAACACCTGTTTAAAACACCGCCGTGTCCCCCCGGCATGGAAAAAGGCGGTGACGGTTTTAATTTTCAAAAAAGGCGACCAGAGCGACCTGAACAACTGGAGGCCAATATCCCTGTGCCGGACCATCTACAAGCTCTATGCTGGATGCATCGCCGGTCGACTTACTGATTGGATTGTGAGCAACAGCGCACTGAGCCCCTGCCAGAAGGGTTTTCTCCCCGCGGACGGTGCATTCGAGCACGTCCACACATTAAATCGCGAGCTGGAGAAGGCCAGGACTGGCCACTCTGACAAATGTGTGGCGTGGCTCGACGTGTCCAACGCGTTCGGGGCGATCCCCCACTTGGCGCTGGAGACCGCCATTGAAAACTGTGGGGCTGGCGAGGGGCTGCTCCAGATTGTACGAGACCTCTATAACGGCGCCACATCCTCTATCATTGTCGCCGAGGGGAAGACCCCCGACATCCCCGTTCAGTCCGGAATCCGTCAGGGATGCCCACTCAGTGGAATTCTGTTTATTATGGCGATTGACCCAATCGTGTCCGCTTTACAGGGGCAGGATGCCGACCACCGGGTCTTGGCCTTCGCCGATGACCTCTGTCTGCTTGCCGACAGTGCCCCTGCCCTTCAGATAAAGGTCGAGGAAGCGCGAGCCGGGCTAGAACGCCTTGGTCTCAAGATCAATGCCAGCAAGTGCGCCTCCCTTCACCTTTCCGGACGACCACCCGTTGGCGTGCGGGACAGCGTTTTTACAATCCTTGGGGCTCCGATGAAGCCGCTAGCTGAAGGCGACGCGGCCGCGTTCCTTGGCGCCCAGGTGGGTTTCCATGTGATCCCCCACAAGTCCACGCTCGCAGACATTACCGAGCTGGGTCTCAAAATTGCAAGGAGCAAGCTAGCTCCATGGCAAAGGATTGATGCTCTAAAAACCTTTTTTTTCCCCTCTGCGGTCCACCTTCAACGTATGGGAACGTTTGCAAAAACAGAGTGGAAAACAATCGACGACATATTGCGCCCCGAAATCAAGGCTACCCTCAACCTCCCGCAAGAGGCATCGAACGAATACATTTACGGTTCCACTCTGCGAGGCTGCTGCGGGATCACGAAGCTGGCTGAGGACTCTGACATTGCAGCCATAGACAGTGCCTTTAAGCTGCTCACCTCTCCTGACGGACGAGTCACGAGGGAAGCGGTTGATCACGTGAGGAGCACCACCTGCCGGAGGATTGGCCGAACTCCCTCCAACAGTGAGGTTGGTAGCTACTTATCAGGTGATAATGAGGGCCCCTTCCGAGAGACCCGGGGCAGCGGAGTTGCCAGCGTTTGGTCCCAAGCCCGCAACGCCTCCGGGAGACTGACTGCATCTTGGTCCCTGGATGGCCCCCCCTCCATCTCCCATGCGGGAACTACCTTGCGCGCGAAGCAGAGGAGGGAGGTCATGAAGACTATGCGCGACCACTATCGCATTACAAGGGGCCAGGCGCTCATCGATAAACCGGACCAAGGCAGGGCCATGGAATGTGCAGCTGCGCACGCTGCGTCCAGCCACTTTCTCCGGGCGGGCGACTTCTGTCGATTTGCCGACTGGAGGTTCGTGCATAGGGCAAGGCTGAACCTGGTGCCGCTGAACGGGTCCTCGTCCTGGAGGACTGGTGACCGCCGATGTCGACGGTGTGGGAATAATATAGAAAGCCTCGCCCACGTTGTCAACCATTGTATGCGGTACACCAGCCTCTATATGGCCAGGCATAACTCTCTGGTGGCCAGGTTGAAGAAAGCAGCGGCCGGGAAGTTTGAGGTCGTGTCTGAGAACCAGGCGATCGGCGTACAACGCCTCAGGCCCGACCTCGTTCTCAGAAAGGGCACCACTACACTAATCATTGATGCCACAGTACCCTTCGACAACAGAATCAAGGCGTTCGAGGAAGCTGCCGCTGAGAAGAGGGCCAAATATGAAGATCTAAGGAAGGAGATCGCAAATGACCACCCTGGGGAAGTCACGGTGTTTCCGTTCATTGTTGGCTCCTTGGGCTCATGGGATCCGACCAACGATGTGCTAGTGAGACAGCTTTGCAGCAGATCTTACGTGAAGCTCTTGCGGAAGCTATGTGTCAGTGAAGTCATCGGATACTCTAGAGATGTCTTCACCGAACACATAAGTGGGGTCCGAGCAAGGCACGGCTGAGCTGGATCATACCACCCACCTCCACCATCGTCATGCAGTTCACTGTTACAACCTTTTGTCATTTCATAAGTAAAAAACCTCCGCTACTTGTACCCCCCCCATGTTTTTTGTCCTCCCCATGTCTGTATTCACCATAAACATTAACAAATAAATAACTCTGTTCTTATCAGCTTAACTGCGGTCCACAAGTTGGTAGGATCAGATTCTACCTAACATACACTTTGCGTTTTTTTCGATCAGGTCTCGAGAATTCGAGCACGAGTTTGGTTTGGTTAATGTATATTTGTTGTGTACTGGTATTTGTTCGGTGATTAGTATTGTTTGGCTTGTCTGTGTCGTACTCGCCTATGTTTGTGACTCCATAGCTCCCTCCCCCTGACCAGGTCCACCGCCTTTGCGCTGGGCCAGCTGTCGTTTGGCAGTGGAACGGGGCATAGCTCGGAGTCTATCCGTCAAAAACTTAGGCGAATTCGGCTATTGTCAAAAACAAGCCTTCGATATTATTCATCAAGTACCAGTACGTGCACGCGATGTGGACACGTTCCAGTGGCGAGATCCACTATAAAAATTATCTGATGCATGGTGCATCCCAACCCCGTCGCTCGCGTGCACATAATATATAAACCACCATCTCCCAACAAGTCTGAGTGCTCTTTTTTTTTATTTTTGTGACTATATTTCAAATTGACTTTTAAATTGACTAAATTATTCGTCCAGCAGTATGCTGCGTTTTTGAGCTGCTGGAGTAAGTGTTGTGTGATTTTTTCTTTCTACTTCATTACTACTTCTTGCTACAGTCAGCTAGGCCCGGCTGGAGCCCGCCTTTTGGACCAGCTGTTGTGTACACCGTGATTTTTACAAACTGCCTGCTGCCGCCGCCTTTTGGATCACGCAGGCCCAGTTGTGTGTGAATTCTACGTCGACCAGCTGAACGCCACCTTTTGGAGCAGTCTGGTCGCCTCTCCGTGTTCCTGTGATTCTTCGTCGACCAGCTGAACGCCGCCTCTTGGAACAGTCTGGTCTACACCGTCACGTGAGTTTTTATTTTCTCTATATTATATTTTATTGCGTCGTTCCGGTGTACCTGGTGCGTCGCAGGTGCGCCCCGTAGAAAACCGGGTCCGATGGCCGACCATGCTGGCAACAGCCAGGTGGCCGGCCCGTCCAACCGAGCCATCCCGGAGTCGCCACTAGACAGTGACGAGTCGGATAGCGACTCAGTGTCCGACTGTGGTAGCTCCGGGGGAAGCGTCACGCCCGTGCCTCGAAAACAGCCCTCGCTCGTCAACCGCACCCTCACGTTTTGGTTTCCGCTTCCAACAACCATCAGCTGCCCACACGACGGTTGCCCGGCCAAGTTCCGGGTAAAACTGTGGACCAGTGCCAAACAATCTGTCGTGCGGCACATACGTGACCTACACGAGGAAGCGGACTCCACCGTGGTGCGATGCGTCGGGTGTCGTTCGGTGCTCGGGATACGGCCCGGGGCCCACAAATGCAGGTTCAACATTGAAGCCGCCGAGGACGTCGTCGGTCAGCACGCCTGCACGGTGGCCGGCTGCGAGATGTCGTTCCCAACGAAGCAGGGCCTAGCAAACCACCTGCGCAACCACCGGCGGCAGGTCATCGTCGAAGCCGCGGCCGTGCCCCTACCATTACCGGCGACGAGGCAGCGGCTGCGGGCCAATCCGGCCCCGATTCCGACGCGCGGAGGTGATGCTCAAGTCCCCGTGGTACAGACGGTGGACGTGCCAAGGATACCGGCTGGTAACAGACCGCCGGACACAGGCGGTCCAGTCGCGGACGCGAGTGTCAGGACAGGAGGTGTACCAAGGATACCGGCTGGTAACAGACCGCCGGCCACAGGCGGCACACTCCTGCCACCTACACCGAGAGCTGGGCCAAGGAGACCGGGCGGTAGCAGACCACCGGACACAGGCGGCTCAGCCTCAAACCCGACAGGTAGTGCGCCAAGGATACCGGCTGGTACCAGACCGCCGGACACAGGCGGCGCACACCTGTCACCACAGCCCAACTTGCTCCCAACCGCCATGAGGCAAGCGACACCGATGAGGCCGCGCGGGGCCGGGGACAGACTGTCTCTCCCGCTGCCGCCTCACTCTCCGCTGCGCACTGAGTCGCCGAGGAACGAGGGCTACAGCATTGTTGTTGCGAGCCCGGAGCTCTGGCGGCCGCGTGATCCCTCACCGGTCGCTAGTGATAGCTCCGCTTCGAGTGGCGCTGCGGCCGGAGATGATGGAAGAGGGCAGTGACGGTACTGATTTACAAGAAGGGGGCCAAGGAGGACATCAGCAACTGGCGGCCCATCTCCCTCAGCCGTACTCTGTACAAACTGTACATGGGATGTGTCGCCAACCGCCTCACCGAATGGCTGACGTCCAACAGGGTCCTCAATCAGTGCCAGAAGGGGTTCCTGCCGGCGGACGGCGCATTCGAACACGTCCACACCCTCAATCGGGTGCTCGAGAAGGCCAGGACTCACGCGGCGGACAAGTGCGTGGCCTGGCTGGACGTGTCGAACGCGTTCGGCGCCATTCCTCACCCGGCCCTGGAGGCGGCGATCGAGAGGAGTGGGGCCGGCGCCGACTTCCTGGCCGCCGTCCGCGACATATACACCGGGGCTACGTCGTCGGTGAGTGTGGCCGGGGGACTGACGGCTGACATCCCGATCCAGTCCGGCATCAAGCAGGGGTGCCCACTGAGCGGACTACTATTTATCATGGCCATAGACCCGGTGGTGCACTCCTGCAGGGCGAGTCGGTCGGTCATCGGGTGTTGGCGTTCGCTGATGACCTCTGCCTCATTGCGGACAGCCCCGATGAGCTCCAGGTTTCCATCGACTTGGCGCACAGGAGCCTGGAGATGCTGGGGCTCCGGCTGAATGCGGCCAAATGCTCATCACTGCACCTGTCGGGCCGGCAGCCGGTGGGTGTCCGGGACACCCAATTTCTGTTGCGCGGCTTACCACTACGCCCGCTTGCCGAGGGTGAGGCGGCCACCTTTCTCGGCGCACAAGTTGGCTTCAATATCGTCCCGCCACTCTCCACCCTCGCCGAGGTTATAGATATCGGCTTGCGCATCGCCCGGAGCATGCTTGCTCCGTGGCAAAGGATCGATGCGCTAAAGACCTTCTTCTACCCCTCAACCGTCCATCTACAACGGTTGGGGACTTTCTCGAAGACCCACTGGGCGAGGGTCGACAAAATCCTGAGGCCTAAGATAAAAAAGACGTTGTATCTCCCGCAAGAGGCCTCAGGAGAATTCCTGTACGGGTCGACCAGGAGGGGGTGCTGTGGTATCCGGATCCTGGCGGAGGATTCGGATATCGCCGCGGTGGACAGCGCCTTCAAGCTTGTCACCTCACCGGACGCGAGGGTGGCAGAGGATGCGGCCGAGCATGTGGAGGAGGTCACCAAGAGGCGGATATCTAAGGACCTCTCAATCCAAGAAGTTGGCTCCTACCTGTCCGGTGTGGACGAAGGGGTGTTCCGGGAGGCCCGGGGCACGGGTGTCATGAGTGTGTGGTCGAGGGCGCGAAACGCCTCAAAGCGACTTGGTGTCAAGTGGCCGCTTGAGGGCGCCCCCTCGATCACGCACGAAGGTACAGTAATGAGGGGAAAGCAGAGACGGGCAGTCATGAGGACAGTACGCGACACTCTTCGGCTCAAACGAAGCGATGCCTTGATCGCCAAACCCGATCAAGGTAGAGCCGTCGAGTGCGTGGCTGCTCACTCTGCTTCCTCCCACTTCCTGAAGGATGGCGACTTTACGAGGTTCGCCGACTGGCGGTTTGTACACCGTGCCAGGCTGAACCTCGTAGCGTTGAATGGCTCCTCGTCCTGGAGAGCCGGTGACCGCAGGTGTAGACGGTGTGGGTACATAAACGAAAGCCTAGCCCACGTCGTCGACCACTGCATGCGGTACACCGCGCTCTACATGGCGAGGCACAACGCCATAGTCGCCAGGATCCGGAAGGCAGCGTCCACAAAGTTTGAGGTCCTCTCCGAGAATCAAGTCCTGGGTCACCAGGGCTTGAGACCGGATTTAGTTCTGAAGAAGGGCCCAAACATCTACATTGTGGACGTTACTGTACCGTTCGACAACCGCCTTGCCGCGTTCGAGGTGGCTGCTGAGGAGAAGAGGACCAAATACGAGGAGTTGCGGTCCTGGTTGGCAGCGGAGCATGGATGTGAGGCGACGGTGGTGCCATTCATCGTCGGTGCCCTCGGATCCTGGGACCCTGCCAACGACTCCTTCATGCGCACGTTGTGCAGCCGGTCGTATGCCACCTTAATGCGTAAACTATGTGTCAGTGACACCATTTCAGCATCACGTGACGTATACATTGAGCACCTGTCTGGGGTGCGACAGGAGAGGGGCTAGATCCTTTTTTTATATATGACTGTGCTCCCCCTTTTTTTTTTTTTTTACTTTACTTTTATATCTTTTACTTTTTATACCTGCGAATTATTGTTATACTTTTTATCATATTTTTCTATTTTTTTACTCTTTTACACTATTATTGATATATATTTTAACCTGTTTGTATTTTTTTAACTTTGTATCTATTTTTTCTATGTACTTGTATAATTGTGAATTCTTTTGTGAATTCTTTTTATGTGTACTTTTTACTTTTTTTACTTTTGTTGTCATGTGATTTATACTAAGCTGATAGTCCATTTTCATGTGTCCCCCCTCTCTCAACGTTCCATCTTTTTTTACTACTTAGGTCCCCATTAAATGTCTCACTATATAAAAATTTATAAATAAAATCTGTTCTTATCAGCTTAACTGCGGTCCACAAGTGTCAACATTGTAAATTGTACAAGTGAATATAAGTGAATATAATTTACAGAATTCAGTCAAACTACTCTAACTAGATTTATTTTAAAAAGTGGGTAAAATTGATAATGAGTTGGCTATAAGTTATAAGCATAGACCTTCTACTTATAAAGTTTATAGTTATAACATAATATACAAATATCTTTGGGTACAATGATTATAGTAACACAACTACCCGGGGGTGGGGGTTGTTGATCACTGAGGCCCACAGACTGCAGGGGCTCCCAGGCCTCAGCCCAACTAATAATTTACTATTTTCGTATTTGATAACAAATATCAAAATCACATTATTTTAATGTATTTATGTATGAATCAAATTTCACTGTCAGTATAGATATTTGATGCGTTATTGAAATATTATTCTATAAATATAAAATAATGATAACATAACTCCATATTTTACCAGGCAAATTAAAGGAGGATTATTAAACACAATAATTAAGGACCTCGCTTTGTTTATAATTAAAAATGGTTTCTGTAATCCATACTGCGATGTTATAACTGCATGTATGTTTATATTCCATGTGAGACAGTAGCAGTGGCGGAAATTTCATTCTTAAAATTGAAATTAATCAAACAGTATTTGAGAAATAGTATACTAGTATGGATTAGGATCGCCTTTAAAATATAGCTATTTCAAAAAGTTATAGAAAAAGATGTAGATAATAAACTAGATTTGGAAAAACGATTTCTTCATTAAATTTACTGATTCCAAAACCAGAAAAAAAATCTTTTTCAAGTGAAGAAAATATTTCTTTGGTCCCGGGTAGAAAGGGCTTAAGTCAATTTTTGACAAAAAATTTTTTTCCGTAGATTTAAAACTTAATTTTTGCTGATTTTTTGGTTCAATTGGCATAAGTCAGTGACGAATATTACTTATATTATTGAAAAAATAAATAGAGCATATCTCAACATGATCGTTTCTACGTTCGGTAGAATAGGCAGGTATGTTGCAGGCATAGGTATGTTGACTTATGCCGTTTATACCATTTTATTGCTCAGGTACATAAGGCTTAATATGACTTACGCCTTTTGTAGTGTAATTATATCTCATGTAAAAATGGCATAAGTCAATGATAAAAATTAATTTATTATTATAAAATATTATAATCGGTATTAATGATTACAGAATTTAATCTCTCATAATAATATTATATGATAAGTTTAAACAGCAGTTATACCAACAGAAGAAAAACTAATATTTGGCCATTGCCGTGGTACTTACATAGTTATTTATAAAAAAAAAAACAATTTATTTATGTCTATATTTCATTCTTTTGATAGAATGATAATGAGTTTGCGCTCCAATATTAGTTTATTGTTGACACTTGACATTTTTATTGTCGATTTTGATTTTTTTAATCACTCTGGTTTTGAACTGAACCTTTTTTTGAGTTAAAAACAACAAAATGAGGAAAAGAACTATTCAAATGGTCGATATGACTAGTTCCTCAAAGCATTGTAAACCAGGTAATATTATAAATAATAAAATTATAATAATAACAAATTCAATTAATATTAGTGTTATACTTAATAGATTGACATGGGCAATGGAGTAACAAAAAAACCACACGGAAAAAAAAATTACTATAAAATTATAGGTATTCAAATTGTTGGTGGTATCATTATATTTTAGTTATTGTTTCTAATTAAATTTTTCCCATTGGGAGGGGGGTGGAACTGTATGTTTTTGGAACACGTGGGTGCCGGCTATATTATAACGACAGTCTAAATGGCATTACCTACTCATTAGGATTGATAAGTTAGTGTTTTAGTTTCAAATATTAGGAAAACATGATATGTAAATAGGCTTATTATTTAAATATCGTTAACATATTACATGTTTAAAAGTTTAGAATAATATTTTAATAAATATTAAGTCATATTATACCAACGGTTGATTAGATATCCTATAAATTATCCCATCGATTGGATGCTGTTAAACTAATTATAATATCTTTATAGTTATTTAGAACGAGCAGTACTTAAATAGTTTCTAAACATTGTTAACTAAAAAATCATTAGGTACCTATTGGAATTGTATTAATATTTAAATAATAATTAACTTTCAACGTGAATAGCATTTTTGTTGTAAGTAGGTAGTGTATTTAGTGAGTGCCGAAGTAACCTATTTAGTATTGGTAAGGACTCAGGTGTGCTTTTGGAAATCCAGGAATGATTTATAATTAAAATAATCAAGAAATATCATATTTTAATTTTAGTAGATTTTATGAATCATTGTTAGTACACATCAGTTAATTACAAAAATAAAGTTTATCAATTTATCATCATTTAACATTACACTTTTTTAAACTTACAATAAATGTAAATAAATCATTATTTAAATACTTTCTCAATAAAATACCTAGGTATTTAAAAAAAAAATAATATAATAACTTAGGTACCTAATGTAATAGTTACACTATTGAAAGTCAGTCATGATTTTATTAATTGTTTATAAATAATATTCTTTTTTATGTATCTACAAATTTATTAAAATAAAAAAAAAAATTATAATTTACCCACTAATAAAACTTAAAAGTATTCTCTTCAATGATATTTTGAATGTTTGCTTTATAAAATGTATCTATTTTTAGTGTTATATTATGGATTTATATACAGAGTCAAAATTGAAAGAATGGGGATTCTCGAAAGAAATCATTGAAGTTTTTAAAGGTACCTACCATAATTAAAATCTTAATTTAAATTAGGCTTAAAAAGTAACATTATTCTAATATAGTACCTATTCAAATAATAAATTGTATATTTTATTTAGATGAAGAAATAAATGAAATGGCATTGTTAAGTTTAACTGAAACTATGATGACACAGTTGTTTCCCAAGATTGGTCAACGCTCAGTATTTAAACTTGGAGAATTAAAAGATCTAAAATTATGATAACTCCTAAAGGAGTTTTTTATTTTATAAATTCAGAAAAGAGGGGGGAATTGTGAAAAGATTGTTTTTGGTTTATCTGATAAATTTATTTTTAGGAAATAATGTAATGTATCTTGTATTTTCTCATACAACCCTTCTAATATTGTAGAATTTGGCTGTTCAAAAAATTGAATTACAACCAAAACACCCTGCGATTGATTGGGACAATTTGGAATTTGAAGTGACAGATACTGATAATATATTATTACCATTTGACGGCAATGTTGTTGAGGAGGAAATTTCATTAAATGATAGTTTATTAGTGTCTTCAAACACTAGTATTAGGTACTAAAAAACATAATGAATATTCTTCAGGTAAAATTGATTTCATACATTTTGATATTTAAATAACTATCTGATATCTAAATTACAAATCATTATAACTTAGAATTCACAAATTATTAGCCTAGGATTAACATATAGTACTATTTAGCTACCGATACAAAATTATTACAAAAATTACTTAAAATTAGGTAGGTACCTACCTATTCATAATATTTTAATTTACTCATAAATACAAATAATAAATCTACCATTTGCATAATAATTCTAAAATGTATTATATTAAAAAATCTAAATTTTACAATTTTAAATTATTAATCAGAATTATATATAATAGTTATTTTTACCTATTAACTTAATACCAAATTTTTATTTTACCATAATATGACTAAGAGCTTTAACAACTCTCGTTACACTAATATACATTAATATTTTGGTCTTAACATAATATTATTATTTTTTATTTTTATTTTATTTGAGTTATGATTAGGTACATTATATGGTGTCACGTAAATACATCGCGGTAAATTGGTCGTGGTAATTTGGGCGCGGTAAATTGGGTGCGGTAAATTGGGAGCCGGTGTAATATTGTCGCGCGTCATTTCGGCGAGTGATACATGCCTATATAGTATATGTGTATAGTGTATATGTACAATTTAATAAAATAATCAATAAATACCTAGTATAAGTAAAGTACACATAACTTATTGGTAAGTATAAAATATAATTTAAAGCAAAAATTGTATTAATATATTATATATTAAATTGTCCCACAGAGATAGCTAATAATAATAATAATAAAAATGTATATAAATGAAGTTGTAAATTACAATAGAAACTGGAAATTAGTAAAAATAGTTTTACATTTTTAATTTATAAATTAAATTGTCACACAGATAGCTAATAATAATAATAACAAAAATGTATATAAATAAAGTTCTAAATTACAATTGCAACTGGAAATTAACGGCTATCCCACGTAAATAATTTTGAATGTTAGTAGTATTTGGGTCAAATGTTGAGGTTAATTTCCGAATACGAATTGCAGAATCTTTATATTTTTTCTTTTTAGGTAATGATATTCCAGAAAGTAACTGTTCGACTTTAAAAAGCTTTATATTATTTTCTTTTTTCAACCCATTAATAAAAATCCAAATAGATGGATGAACTGAATTTAACAACGAATTGAAAGAATTGTGCCAGCCTTCTACTACATTATTTGTACGTGGAATATCTTTTTCAATTAAAAAATAACAATTCCATATTGCAATAGGAAATAGTGGAGGTGTCTTTCGTCCTCTTCTGTTAACGCGACCAATATATGTATCCTCAAAGTAAATTATAAAGTTTGACAAGAGTTCCTCGTTGCTTTTATAAAATTCTGTTTGAAGAATGTTTTCAAAACTATCTTCAACAAGATTTTCGGGTAAATATGCTAATGCCAGTATTTTCCGAATATTAAGGGAAAATTCTGGATCAGTAGAATATTTATTACTTAACCCAATATTTTGAATTTGCCGCCAAATCGACTGTCCAAGATGAAAAAAACAACCTTGAATTTTAGTATTTGGGTATACAAATAGGGCTGCATTCATAGCAGCTTTTTCAAAATCAGCCATAATCATCAATGGATTTCAATTTTTTTTTAAAACATTTAAAGCTAAAAACATACGGCGATAAGTTACTTCTTTTTTATCTGGTAAAAGAACATAAACTAAAGGAACAACATCACATAATATTAAACTGTGGATTGTATATAATTGGGTGAAAATACTAGGACAACACGAAAATGTGCCGTCAACAAACCAATGTTCACTTTCTAATAATAAATTTAAATTTTTTTCTGTTGAAAATTTTAATATTCGTTTTTCATTGATATTTTCAGAAAAACTGTCATATAATAAAAATGATTCACCATTCGTAGTATTTTTATACTCTTCTGGAATTTTCAGCTCTTCTAATGTTGTAGGATTTGGAGGAGCAGAACTTTCGATTTGTCTTGTTCGTTGTACTGTTCTTTTCATTTGATTTATAGGAGGTACCTAGTGTACCTGCAATTGCATCATTAACCTAAACAAATAATAATAATAATATAGTATAATAGAATTATTAAATTAAATTATAATGCTTTTACTTTTGATACAACTGATACAATAACAGCATGAGTACTCAGTTGAGAAGTTTTCGCTACTTTATTCAAATCATTCATATATTCTCTTCGTTTAATTTTAGCTATGTCAGGTACATGGTTAGTATGTTCAATATATTTAATAACAGTTTCATCTCGTGTATGAATACGACCACGACAGCTGAATTGTTTATAATCATTACATTTCCAAATAATTTTATCGTCGCCGTCTCTTTCTTTTTTGTGAACATTATTATTGTGAATCAATACATTTTCATTTCGTTGACTCAAAATATAATTTAAATGCATTTTATTTCAAAAATTATTAAATAATTAAAATACACGGCACCAGGCCCTATTATTTGTAAAATTTCGGACTGCACATTTCATTTTATTCTCGCTACCATCTTAGCAAAAGGAATGTATTACATAATACATATATATTATATACCATATGTATACAATAATTTAACAATGCAATTCAATAAAACAACAAAATACTTATCTTTTAATAAAAATCATAAAAATTAAATAGCATAATATAATAATAAAAACCTTAACTTAACTTTTTAATAATTAAAATCATAACAATGCATATTACTTTCTTGATTTTTCATCAAGTAAGTATAGTAATTGAAATGAAAAAAGTCTGAACTTTGAAAACTTCAAGAATTTGTGTTAAATAGGAAAATAATAAAAATGTAACTCAGTAATGATGAATAGGTGGGTAATTTAGCTAGCTTTAATATAAAATATTAATAAGAGAGATTTTATATCACACCCAAGCGGTATACCCAATTTGAATCGATAAAAACATTCGCGTGAACAGTCCCAAAATTTCTATTTTTTTAACTTTTATCCTAAACTATGATACCTAGCTAGAAATTTGGTTGATAACTCATTAAAAAGGGATTATCAGGTAGACACTAAATGTGGAATTAATTTTTTGTTTTTAATTATTTAATTTTTCACAGATAAAAAAAAAAAAAAAGAGTTATTTTCTCTAGATTTTCATTTAGAGATGTAGATCTCCGAAACGGGAGAACGGATTTTGTTGTTCGGGGTCTTGTTAAATTCACATTTGCTAGGAGAATTGCAGTGAAGATTTTCAGAACTTTATCTAAAATTGTTAATTCATTACAAAGCTGTAAAAATGAAAAACATCAAAAAACGCCCAATAAAATTTGTTTTAATTTATTTTAATGTTCTGTAGTGAATTAACTATTAAAGATAAAGTTCTGAAAATCTTCACTGCACTTCTCCTAACCAATGTGAATCTAACAAGACCAAAATCAACGAAATCCGCTGTCCGGTTTCGGAGATCTATCTCACTAAATGAAAATAAAAATGATTTTTTGTGGGGCTGTTCACGACGACATTTTTCTGGATTCATATTTTTTGACCGCTTGGGTGTGATTAAATCAGTTAAAAAATTTCTAAAAATTCAAAATCAAGAAAGTTTACATGCCGATCCCTGACTTGGCAATTTTTGTTTTCTAGACCGTAGTGCACACACGTTCAAATCGTAGTGCACACTTGTATATTCGTAGTGCACATTGTGTGTCGTGGTGCACATAAAAATAAGGCCTGCACGGCACTGTATAATTGTATAAACCGGGTACAAATCGCAACAGAGCGTTGACGATAGACTGACGGTAAAATAAGGTTCAAATGTGAACATAACACATTATAGGATTTTATCTAATCACGAGCCTATCATTTTACCTATAATTTAGATAGGTAACGTAATATTGACGACGATAATAATTTAAAACGATCATAATTTAGATATCTGAGGTTATCATTAAATTGACGCGATCTAATATAAAACGACTATTATTTGTCAATATTATATAATACACCGCGACCAATTCCTCGCCCCGAAATTCTCGCGCCCAATTTACCGCGCCCAACTTACTGCGATCAAATTACATTGAACCACATTATATATTATTGGAATTCAAAGCCATAATTTTTAACTAGAATACAACAGTATTTACTAGTTTATGATATATGATATTATGTATTCTTATTTCTTATAAATGTATTAATTATTAGTATCAACATCGACCACAAACATTAAACATTATTTGGAACAATATTATCATGATGGGAAGTGTGTTTTAAGTTTCTATGGTTCATGTGGTTATTTAAATCAATCACTGAGAAACAAATTAGCATCGGTAATAATTAAAGACCGTATACAAAAGTCAATAAAGCTTGACAAGGTTCAATTTACGGAATTAGCAAAAGGTATTATATATTTGAAATTGCAAATTACTTTGAAAGGTAGTATATGGTATTATATATTAGATATCTTTCATATTATTCTATATAATATTAGATATCTTTCAATTATATATCATTTTTTAGTTTTGTTGTTATAAGCTGCCTTGAAGTAAAAAAGGATCATTGAAAAAAGTTGTAGTCAAACAGTCCATATAAAACATTTTTTAAAAAAAAAACCTTTTGCTACCTTGATGGTACCTAGTGTTAATGCTAAGAACTTTTATTCAACAATCTATCTATTATATATTTTTTTATGAACTTTTAATTTATTTATTTTTTTTTTAATAAGGCATTGAAGAGTTGTTCCCAACTGAAAGTTGGGAAACTTATTTTATTCCTTATTTGAAAGTAGGGGACAAAATTACTCCAAATAGAGGTAAATTGTATGACAAATATTGTCATTTAAAAAAAGAAATGAAAAGAATTACTCCAAATAAAAAAAGAAACCATTCTGAGACAGTAGAAAACAATACTAATTTTGTCGAACATGATAGTTATATATTTTAAACAAGTATTAACACAATATTAATATTTTATGTAATTTATGTAATAGATTTTGAAGATTCTATAAATTGGTTAAAACATAATATTCAACCAGAAACTACTTTCGTTAAACTTTGGAAAGAAACATCAAATTTTAGGTTTAACCAGTCCTTAAATAACATTAAACTTTTTCCAGGTCTGACTAAACCCACTGGTTATTTACTGGCAAGTGTTAAAATTTTAAAATAATTTAGGTAAATTAATTGTATTACCTATCTTAGTTTCTTATCTATTTTAGATTGAAATTGATTTTATTCAGTTGTTTCCTACAAAGGAAATGGGACTACTCAATAAATATGAATGTTTTAATGAAAATTTAAAAAAAATGTTGAAAATTAAAAAACCTTATTTGGGCTCTCAAGAGGAATCATTATTACAACAGATTTTCATACCAGTTAAACTAGGCTAGTTATTAATAATAATAGTATTACCAATAATTTTCAATGTTTGATTTATAATTTATTTTGATCTTATTTGATTAGGTGATGATGATTTAGCTGCATTTAGTATACTGCCACATTTATTTCAACCTGTGTCCACTGTAATTACAAAAATAAATGGTTCATCATCAACACGTACAACCCACAAACCTTCAAAATTAGAACAGGAAGCTGCATTTATTGTGACATTATTGTTAGTATAGTTATTAATTACGTTTATTAAATATTAATTAAATTTTCATTATTGCTTAGAACGTCAATGAACTAAAATCGCTAAATTCCACAAAAATTTAAAGAACCTTTCACTCGGATTAACTTGTTGGTTCTTCTACTACGCCAGAAATCGCATACTACGCAGTTATTGAAGATACATATTTTAAGCTCGAAACGGTCATAAAAGCATTTGATGTGTGCTTCAAGAGTTTTCACACATTCAATTTGGAGTACCCGGTGAAAGCTAAGCAAGTGTGGACATTCTTCCAAATATATTTTTATGGAATTCAAGCTGCTAGCAAATCCGATCAACAATTTTTGTCTGTTAAAAGTTTACTTAAAGATATCAATAATTAGTTATTGCAGTAAGTATTAAGTTTCTCATTCTACAACATATCAAAAAAAAATTTTAATGGCCCTTTGTTTTGTATGTAATGAACATTTTCAAATTCCCGTTCATTTATTTGTGCATTTAAATATTTTTCATGATGTGAAAACTATAAAAGAGTTTGTATGTAAAGAACCTGATTGTCTTAGAACCTTTGGTAGTTTAAACTCTTTTAAAAAACATATAAATAGCCATTCATTTTCCTTAGAAACGAATTCACTTTTAACTACAACGAATTTAATAGATCCCAATAGTTCACTTTTGAATCCACTAGAAAGTCATTTTACAGAAGTTACATGTACATCTGGTACAGTTCATAGCAATGATACTAGTGATATAATTATAACTGATGATTTTCTGAATAAATTATTAACAAAAAATGCAATTCAGTTGGCTTCAAAATGGTATAGCTGTAGTTCGATTCCTAGGAACAAAGTTGATACCCTTCTTGATGATATCAAACAATTTAATAGCTCATTTATATCTATATTACAGTTAAAAATAAATTATTGTATTTCAAAAACTAATATAAGTGATGTTATTTCTGACCTATCTTCAATTTCAAATGCACTATCAAGCCTCTCTGACCCTTTTTGTAATATTCAAACAGAGTATTTGCGGTTTAAACATTTAGATGAAGTTGGATTATTGATTAAACCAAATCAAATTGTAATAGCAAATACACTAAATGATCGACTTCGTAATGGTGTTGTTGTACTAGAACCTAAAGAAGTAAAAATAACTTTAATTCCCCTAAGACAAATATTTAAAAAACTGATTGAACATTCCAATTTTTTTAATATGTTACTTAATTATGTTGATTCATTGCAATAATATAAAGGTCCTATAATGTATAGCTTCATTCAATCTGAATTATGGAAAGAAAAGTTAAAATTGCATGATGGTAAAAAGATATTTCCTCTTTTTGTCTATTTTGATGACTTTGATGTAAATGATCCATTGGGTTCCCCTTCAGGTTCTCAAAAGCTAGATGCTGTATATATATATCATTAGCTTGTTTACCACCTGAATTGGCTTCTTCTATAGACAATATTTTTTTAGCTTCTTTATTTAAAACTGACGATAAAAAAGAATATGGAAATATATTAGTATATAAAGATCTTATAGCAGAACTTAACTTTTTAGAAACTAGTGGAATAGATCTAAAAATTAATGATGAAGTACATCATATTTATTTTTCTGTGAGATTTTTCTTGGAGATAATCTAGGTCTTCACTCCATATTAGGATTTTCGGAAAGTTTTGTAGCTAAATATCCATGTAGATTTTGCAGATGTCCAAAACAAGTTTGTCATGTACAAACACAACAACTCGATGACATGATGAGAAATAAAATTAATTATGCTTCTGATCTTCTTCTCAATGACTTGTCTTCCACTGGAATCAAAGAGCGTTGCGTATGGAATGATTTAATTTCGTTCACAGTAACAGACAATTTCAGTGTAGACATAATGCACGATATGTTGTAAGGGGTTTGTAAATTTGATATCGGTTTGATTCTAAAACAAATGATTTTTGATTTCAATTACTTTTCTATTGAAACTTTAAACAATTGAATCGAAGCATTTAATTACGGCTCTTTAGATATCCGTAGTAGACCTACATTATTATCTTCCGAAAACCTTCGTCATCAGGGATTAATCAGAATGTCAGCATCGGAAATGCTATGTTTTACACGATATTTAGGGTTAATTATTGGGGATCTTATTGAAGAAGACTCAGATTTATGGGAATTATACAAAATACTAAAAAAAAATTCTAGATATTATTTTATGTAAATCTGTAAGATTATCTGACTCAGTACTTCTTAAAACACTAATTTCAGAACATCACCAATTATATTTAAGATTATTTCGCTCCAATCTCAAACCCAAACATCATCATATGGTTCATTAATCATTATCCATTTTGAGCCCTTTTCTGGTCAATGCGCTTTGAAGCCAAGCATAAGGAGCTCAAAGACACTGCTCATGCAATTACTTCCCGGAAAAATATACAATATACATTATCTCTTAAACATCAATTAAAACTGTCTCACAATTTTTTGTCCTCAAATGATAACTTTTACACAATAAATATGGAAATTGGACATGTTTTAAAGTTGAATGAGTTAACATTGCAGTTTTATAATAATTGTAATATTAATTTTATAACTAATAATTTTGATTTCTCTGATAATATAATATTTGTGTCTTGGGTAAAAATAAAAAATATTGTATTTAATTGTAAAAATATGTGTATAGTGATAAATGCTTGTGAAATTGAAGATATTATGTTACCATCGTTTGGATTAATAAAACATATTTTTATTACAGATGTCAACCTACCATTTGCAATATGTCAACTATTTAATACAAATTATTTGGATGAGCATTATCAGGCGTTTAATGTTACCCCTATACCAAAATACATTTGTATTTGTTTAGAACAATTTCATCAAGGTCACATGAAGTCCATGTATCAGGCTCAGATTTAATTTTTATCCCCTTATAAATAATTTGTTATATATAATATCTACTTATATATATATATATATCAAATATGTTTTTATTTACCTATTATTATTCGTGTAACGGCAATAAAGCAAGCCAATATTTTACTTTTGTTCATATTATAATATACATTAACATATATGTTTTTTTAAATTTTATTTGTATAATGGCAATACAGCAAGCCTATGTTTTACTTTTGTTTATATTTTATGTACTTATCACTTTATATATAATATTAATATCTATCTATTGTATTATCTATATAAAATATGTTTTTATTTACCTATTATTATTTGTATAATGGCAATAAATCAAGCCAATGTTTTATGGAAATAATTTCAAATAAAAAGTTTTTATTGATTATACACTTATATTTATTTAATTCATATAATTTACACAACCATATAATAGTTTAGGGGGAGGTACATTCTTACAATAAATATATACCTATATAAGATAACACATGCTTTTATAGTTTATATCAAAAATAAATTTTGGTGGAAGGCGGAGGTAGGCTGCAAATAAAAAATAGTTATTGTTACTATATATTATAGCTGTAATAAATATAAATTTCCTAGAAAAGTAACTATAATTTTAGTTGGTATATAAAAAAAAATAGTAGATATTCCTATGATTTAAATATATTATAGTCAAAACAAACAAATATTTTAGTTGGCCCTACTTAGTATGATAACAGATTTAACTATTTATTTTAAGAGGACGCCACACGGGCAAAAATACCGTACAAAAAGATGCCAATTTTGTTCCAATAATACGGCTTACTGAATGGTTTTAGAGCAAAATACCTTTATTAAAAGTTGTAGAGAAGAGTTATATCGGGTGCGTGTCGAGACTCGATTTTTGATATTTTAATTTTTTATACCAATTATTCACATGTAAAAAAGTGAAAAAAAGTGAAAACGCAAAACGATTTTATCGATTTTGAGAACGAAATATCAAAAATCGAGTCTCGACACGCACCCGATATAATTCTTCTCTACAACTTTTAATAAAGGTATTTTGCTCTAAAACCATTCAGTAAGCCGTATTATTGGAACAAAATTGGCATGTTTTACAGAAAAAAAATTTAATTGCGGCCGTCATGTGCTGCTGTCGTTTCTAGCGGCAGCGTTTGTCCCCTCCTAGCTCTGACATCCAGGCGCGCTCGCCGCCGACAGGTCAAAACCGGTCTGTTATCGGCGGTCCGCGCTTCGCCGGTCGTTGCATTATTTTCATATTATTATTATTTACGTGAAATAAAACAAAATAAAATTATGCTCGATTTATTACGATGCCCGCAACCGTCCTTACATTACCGTATTGCCGTGACAGCCTCGGCTGTGAGAAAAAACTTATTTTTTTAGTTCCAAAAACACGGCTAACTGTTTTAGAGCAAAAAACCTATTATAAAAGTTATAGAGGAGAGTTAAATCTGTTAACGTATAGGACTAGATTTTTGATATTTTAATTTATTATACCAATTATTCACAAATCAAAAAAGTGAAAACAAAAAACAAAAAATGCAAAACGATTTTATGGATTTTGAAAATGAAATATCGAAAATCGAGTCCTATATGTAATATAAAACATCTATAAAAATTAAAAACCTCTTCAAAAACATTTAAACATAATTTCTATATAATATATATTATTTATTGTGTTAAAAATATAAGAATTTATAAAAATTAAAACTTATCTCATCAAATAATTAGTGTATTAGATACCGTTACAACACAACTATACAAATTAGTAATTACTTTAAAAGTTTAAAAGTAACAAATAAAATAAAATTTATAAAGGTTATTTATTTCAATACAATTATACATATTATTATACATTTGAATATTTGAACAATTTTATTAAAGTATGTTATAAAATAAAATATATTTATACAATATATAAGTGTAGAAAAAAAGTAAGATAAACAAAATACATACATACTAATTAATTCAGTGGCGTATTTAGGAATTTGTCATGGGGAGGGTCCAGATAATTTTCAGAACACAGAGCCACGGGGGACGAAGTCCCACACACCACCCATTTACTCTTTATTAAATAAAATATACCATATTTATAAGACGATATAAAATTTTTGAGTTTTTAATTATTAAATAATAATATGTACAAAACAAATTTAATAAAAAGCGTTTAAGTGGATGTCACTCTGCTGCTGTACAGTAGGTTACAAGTGGGTCAATGTATAATATAATGTATAATATAATGGATTTATTAAACTTGAACTCAATGATATAATATCATAATATCATTGTATAAGAAAAACGATTCTGAGCGAAGACGGTTTGTCAGTTTTATATTGTTATTATTTATTATAGCCTGTAAGTTGAATTAATAATGAAATATTTTTTTTTTATTCTTTTCTATAGTGATAGACAAAGTTACGTGTTAGAAATTAAAATCCCATTTTTAGCGGTTTTTCGTAATTTTTTGGTGGTTTTTACAGTGGCATTAAATAACTATTGAGAAAATCGAAAAATGACCTCTCTAAAGTACTATCTTGATCCAATTTTCTAAAAGATAAGTTACTATATGTCTATACATGTTGAAATCGAAGCACTATTTCTGGAAGAAATTTTGTATACAGGAAAAATAAATAAACACCATTGTAAAACCAATAGATAACTCAGAATCGAATATATAGTTATGTTATAACTTTTATACAAATATTTCCTTAATTACATTAGGTACCTACTTCATTCATAGTTGATCTTAGATAGCTTTTCAACCTTAAAAAGGTTGAAAAAGATCTCTCTGGAGTGGTTGTAGATACTGGCAATGTACAAAACTACAAAATATTTGAATTAAAAAATGAACTTTGTATTTTTCAACCATTTTCGGTATCCAACTGATAAAAATAATCAAGATATTTATTGAAAATGTTGATATACCAACTATAGCTTCGAAAATTTTTTATAAAATCCGTAAAATAGTATGATAAAATTTGTTTTTTAATCATGTAAAAACTGCACAACATTTAACATGTACGAGACACGAGTCAATGGGGGGGGGGGGGTCCGGACCCCATGGACCCCCCCCCCCGTAAATACGCCACTGCTAATTATTGACTTCCGAAAAAAAAATATAAATGTTGTGGACAATTATATAATAATATATAATAAGATAATATAATAATACATAATATTAGGTATATAAATACGTACTAAGAACCTTTGCTAAATTAATTTTTAGAACTTGGAAGGATTATAACTTAAATTAATGTTTTCTATAGCTGATTTTTTTGCTTTCCTATTTAAATAACATTTTGCTATAAAATATAATAAAAAAACTATTATTATGACAACTAAATATTTGTTTGTGTATATAAATCCATACGTTTTATCTACAATAAGCGAATTTAGTAACATATATTGTTGGTCTAATTGTTTATTTATTTTATTGAACGCTTTTTTTATTAAATTGTATATATTTTATTTCATCGAAGTGAATCGGTTTGGGATAGGCCTGATTTGAAAAATTGAATACATTACAGCATGAATCATTCGTAAGAGATAAGTCTACTGGAACTGAGAAATATGATGTTTGATTTAATACTTGTTCAGTTTTTAGTACACTTTTCGAGGTGTAAGCAGCAATACACCCAGACTTCAAGTATAACTTTCCAGAACTTTTAATTTTAATTTTTTGAGTGAAAGACTGTTTATTACAAATTATAGTAATTGTAGTGGGTTTTTCACATGCAAAAAACCAATGATTTTTGAAAAATCAGGGATACCACATTTCTGTTTTGAATTCAGAGATATAAGTATAACATTGAGGTGGTTTAGTTACAGAATTTTTTAGTAATTCTGTTACACATGTGGGGTCCGTGTCACAATTATGTATAATTTCATTAAATCCACAAACAAATATTTTATCCACTAGGTACTTTACAGTTATTTAAATCTGGCCAAATAAAATATTTGGTCATTATTTTGTCCATTAACAAATACATAGAATTTTTAGTCATATGGAGAAATTGACCATGTTCATTTATTGGAATGTAAATCGGTAATATGTAATAAACGTTAAAATTTTCTATAAGGCAAAGAGGAAATTTTTAAGAAAAAATAAATCTGTCAATTCAAATCAAAATTCGATCTTTAAATGCTTATAAAAAAAAATTGTGCCTATGTATTTTTAATATTTTTCAATTGCTACTGTAACAATATATCAGGAGCCTTGCATTAAATTTTTACACTTTTTGGCCCACCAGATAAAACTTAATTGATATTTATAGAAAAAAAAACTAAAAAAATTGAAAACAGCTCAAAAAGAGTCGAAATATTTTCAAAATTGTACAGTGTATAGGAAATGCTAATCTGAACATTCAGTAAAATTATCATGTATCTATAGTTATTCGTTTTTGAATTACAACAAAATAAGGAAATCGCTACATGAGAAATCGAGTGAATATACAATGTTGTAAAAATTTGAATTTCAAACGCTCATAAAAATTTAATTTGACTTTCTTATAGACATTTTTTTTTTGATAAAGGTAGATAGATAACCTTATAAGGAATCTTGTATTACATTTTCAAATCTTAGATTTAAAAAGAAAAATTTTTACGAATTCTTAACTCAAAATAATTTGCTAATTTTCGTGATTTTTCCATTTTTTGTTAATTTTGTACTTTAAATGCTTATAAAAAAAAACTGTGACAAAGGATTTTTAATATTTTTCATCTGCCTTTGAAACAATATACTTGGAGCCTTCTATTAAATTTTCAAGTTTTTTTAACCAACAAATAAAATTGTATTGATATTTCTAGAAAAAAAAACTAAAAAAAAATGAAAAATAAAAATGTCCCTAAACAGTTCAAAATAAATCAAAATATTTTGAAAATATTATTGTGTATAGAAAATGCAAATATAAACAACCAGTGAAAATTTCATGTATCTACGGTCATTTGTTTTAAAGTTACACCAAAAACCAAATTCAATTTTCTGAAAAATCGATTTTGCGTAAAAATTCCAGTTTTTCATTAATTTTTCTTTTGTTTTTCTTGTAGCTTTTGAAATTTACTGGGAATTTTAAATTTTGACCTCCCCAATGCACCAACGATATTCACTTTCCAATCGAACAAGATACTGAAGTCGAAAATCGAAGCATTATTTCGACTACTTATCGTGTACACAGACACAAAAATAAAAAAATAAAAAAATATAAAAACACACATCATTGTAAAATCAATACATTCATCGTTCCACTCAGAATCTAAAAATCCCACCGTACTGGTCGAATACTTTTGGGATTCTAAAATGTCTGAACCGCTACAAACGTGAGTCCTTTTTTTTTTAATAATTTGTACACTCTGAGTAATTAGATAATCTTTCACACGAATACACGAGTCACGATTACTAGTGAATCATGATTTATCTATTTTACCTATAATATATTTATATTATATTTTATCTATTTTATCAACATATTATATTTTATACTTTAAGGTTTTATATGAAGTCTTTATTACCCGAAATTATTGATCCACAATTCCCTAAAAGAATGCTGAAATCAGATATTCGAGAACCAGATCACATAAAAAAAAATGATTATAAAAAAAAATTAATAAAATATTTGAATATAATTTAGACAAGTTGAATGGTTTTTTATTTTTTACTTTCTTAGATTGCAACTCAGTAAGTGTAAATCAAATTCAAGTAGTTTATTTATGGCTGATTAAAATGTAAGAAGAAATGTTATACAGGGTGACGTATAAGAATCGATTTTCAATATTTCATTCTCAAAATCGATAAAATCGTTTTCAGTTATTTTCACTTTTTTACTTATGAATAATTGGTATAAAAAAATTAAAATATCAAAAATCGAGTCTTATACGTCACCAGATATAACTCCTCTACAAAATTGAGGTATTTTGCTCTAAAACCATTTACTTAGCCGTATTATTGGAACAAAATTGGAATGTTTTTGTACGGTATTTTCGCTGGTTTAGCGTCAATGTTATATTATTGTCATTGAATAATAAAAATAATAATATTTATTATAATCAACGGTATTATGGTAATACATACGAAAATATTAGTAAGATAAAAATTAAATACATAATTGGTATGTCTATATTGATATATTTACAAACTAAATGTAAATCGTAAGTTATTGTACGTAAAATATTGTTAACTCGAATACTTAAAATGTTTGTACAACAATTTGTACGGTAAAAACTAGATTTTCTAGCCAACATAATATTGTTATATACAAATAGGTATACAATTGGGCTGACAGCGGCTTTAATTAAAAGATGGTTAGTGTAGGTATAAGAGCGAATATGGCGGCAATGCATTTACGTGTATGAATTTTATTTCGACGGGATATGTCACGGACGAACGTTCATAAGATAATAAACAACGCTCCCGAACTCGACAACGCGTCGGTCGGTACGCGGCTGTGAGTAGTGGGCGCGCTTAAACGTCGCGTGCTTGCGGATCACGAAAACACCTAACAGCGCATTCTCTTGGTCATTGCATGGTTTCGTTTGCCCGTGTGGCGTCCTCTTAACGATATCTCAAACACTAGTCACATCTCGCTTAAGTCAATAAACATAATTATTTGGACTTAGAATATTTTCCATAACACTGTTTACATTAAATAAATACAATAAATATCATCAAAGAGGTTTTGTTCAATTATTACTTCCATTTCTACGAGTAACGCGGAGTACCACGTTACACCATTAATTCCATTAATTTTAACTGTTTGTTTTCTATTAGTTAAATAGCTTTTGAACCAGGTTAGACTACATTTATTTATTCCAAAGCTGGGCAATATATTTAACAAAATATCGTGATCAACCGTATCAAATGCCTTAGCTATATCTAAAAAGATTACCAAAGATTTTTTACTATTATCTAATGCGCTGTACCAAAACTGGGTATTTTTATGGAGGGCATTATCAGTACTCAACCCTGTTCTAAAGCCAAATTGGTTTTTTGATAAAAAATCTAAATTTAATAAAAGAAAATGTATCTAATAAGTATTTTTTTTTTGTAATTTAAATATATTATTATTGGGTATTTAAAACTTTAAATGTCGGATATCTGTGGAAATACACAATGCCGTAATTTGGCCGCCATATCGTTATCGACAACAATTGTCATCGGTAATTACGGTCGACTCCACGTCGAGAACATTCGATACCCCGCGCCGCCGGTACCATCTGTATCGCTGTCTGCCGGCTCACCGCGAACCCGTCACCGCCGCGTCAGTGCGTTGTCGTCCGTTCGTCGCAACTTTTGCTGCGGCAACCCCGGCTCGCGTGTCACGTCCGGGTTTTGCGCGACAGACTATTTTCACGTGATCGGTGGTCCTGAATGTGCTGAGTTACGTATCGGCCGTGGCGGTTTTGCGTGTTTTCCCTTTGTGGTCTATCCGTCCGTGTACAGTTCTCCGCGATCACCGGTGGTACGTTGTACTAATTGTACGCACCGAATGCACGCTAAAACGACTTGTTGTCTCGTGATCGTGTTTGTTTGTAGCCGTCGATTTTGTGTTGCGTTATGTGCCGACAACGTGCGGGTCGTGTCGTCTTCCGCGTCTCCAACCGTACATTTCACGGTGCCTCCCGTGGACCACGGCAAAATTAATTGGTTTAACCTGCTCTTCGTGGGCCATCGTGGGATTCTCAGTGGCCAGCGTTAGATCGCCGTGTGGACCAGTGGACCGTTGAGAAGGACCGAGTGGCAACACTGTCGATGTTAATCAGCGGATACCGAGGAGACCGGTGATTACACTATCATTCATTATCATTGTAAAACATCATTGTTTATTATTTTGTTGATATGACATTATATATTATTTGTACTATATTATTAATTGTCCCCGTAGAGTTAGTTTTGTGGGCGCCCATTACATATGAATATAAAATATTGTAATTTTCTTATGAATAGTAAGACGGTGCTTCGGGCCCGTCATTAGAGCGTATTACTTGTTGTTATTCATTGACATCTAGTTTCAAGTTAATTCCAGAGTGTTCACTTCCCTCTGTGTCCTGCGTTGCGGTGCTTATTAAATAGGAGCGTGGGGCACTTAAAAGAAAACTTGCTAAAATAAATATTAAGTGTAGTCGAGTCGGCCGACGACCTCTGGGTCGGCAGTAAAGATTTTGTTCTACAGTAAGTACATCAAATAAAATATTTTTGGTGAAAATGAATTTAACATACTGTGTTATTTCTATTAAAATAACTTACTTGAATAGCAATATGCAATGATATAATAAAATATTTAAATATAGAAAGGTATAGTAGGTAGCTACTTAGTAATATAGGTTGATATACAGTCTTCGCTCAGAATTATTTTTGTATAGGTAGGTAAAAAGGAAGGTTAATACTAATTCCAAATTAATCAATGATAATCTATTATATCCATAAATCATAATAGACATAAACATAAATATAATAAAATGATAATATTTTATTTAAATCCATTAATTCATATTTCTAGCTTTTATATAAATTGAAATTATTCATATTCATATGAATGGACATTTAAAAAATCACTTGTACAGTTTAGTAAGGATTTTCTTATTATATTACCGTTTTAAATAACGATCATAATATCATTTATTATGTATATTAAACTATTTTACTTTAAATAATACATAATATTATTGTTGAAAATTTAACGTAATGTATTATTATTTTTATTATGAACTCAGTATTATTAAATGTTAAGGCCCCTGCAAAACCTATTAATTGTTCTTCAAAACGACCTTAGCGGCTAACAAAAATTAAAAAACTTCTAGTGGTTTGATTTAAAAAATTTAAAGATGTTTTAATTGGTCAACAAGTCTACTTTGCATCAGTTCGAGCATATATTTTTTATATTTTAAATATTTTTGAATATATTCAATGCTAAAAATTTATAAATTTATAAAATGTAAAATATTTATTTTCGTCAAGAATTTGCTAAAATTGAAAAAGTGCTCCGACCGATGCAAAGTAAACTTGTTTACCAACACTAACATTTTTACATCTTTTAAATCGAACCACTAGAAGTACCTTAATTTTTGTCAGTGCGACGGCTATTTCACATCCATAAATAAATTGGTTTTGAATATTTTGATCTAGATATAAAAATGACTTGTGCATGTGAGTGTGTGCGACCATAAACCAGATAAGAAATAACAATGTATTGTAAATTGATACGGTTCGCGGGTAATGGTAGGGGATTATACACACACTAATGATCATTTACTACACACACAAAGACGATAAGTAATCGCAGGAACAAAATAATTGCCCTAAACACAACTCCTTAAAAATGACACATTTGCAGGGCCCTTAAATGGTGATCATATTATATGTATTAAATTATTGTGCTTTAAATCTTAAATGTAGGTATTAATAAATAATAATAATCCTATAGTTCTATGTACGTATGTTAAATAATATCCTATTAATATTATAAACGTGAAAGTGACTTTATTACTCTTTCACAAAAACACTACTGAATGGATTTTAATGAAACTTTACAATAATATAGCTTATACATCAGAATAACACATAGCCGTTTATAAATGGTTGCCATGGGTTTTAAAACTATTACCCATAATAATAATTATTGGTTGCCTTGAAATCAGTGTATTCATTCAATGCATTTAATTTTTTTGTACGTTGTGATTTTATATTATATTTATCCCAATTACGTATTGAGCGTATTATACTCACATATAAGTTACGTATATGATACCTACATAAAACAATCACGATGCCACCACGTATTATTGGACGAGGAGGAAATATTGGTCGAACAGACTCGGCATTCACAATTATAGTCCAACCGTTTAGGAGAAGTTCAGTAACATACTTGGTATAACTTTGATACTTTAGAGTTAAACTATAAAGTTACGTACAAACATCACGTGGTCCGCGATCTACCGCAAGCAGGTAGATTGCCTAACTGATAATATAGGACATAGCTGGTACTGCTGCGAATTGGAATTTTTATTCTGGCACCAGAAAAGAGTTTACGATAATATAAATGGATAAATAAGATAGATACACAATGTTGGGTAATAATCCATAACTGCGTTAGGCAGGTGCGGATCCAGAGGGGGGGGATGCTATACGACCCCCCTTGGCATGTTGCTTCCTGGAAAACAAATACTCTACACAACATGTATTTTTCAGTAGGCTGTGGACATTTATAAACAAAATTGGTACCAAATACCAATAAAGAAAAATTGAGTTGTGAGCCTTTGAATATTAAGCACAATCCATTTTGAGGACTAAAAAAAAGTCTTACCATCAGGATGGAGTTACAAAATACAAGACCTTAACCTTAGCAGGTGGTGCTTGTTTAGTCGTTTGCGCACATATTAATATTTTAAAAGTGTTGTAAAAATGATTGTAATTGTAACTAACTTTTTTTTTAATCGTTAAAATTGTGAAATAATAACATTTTTTAAATTAGTATGTCCCTTGAGTTTGAAGACCAGAGCCACTATACTTGTGATACTTCAACTAACAAGGTTAAAATTACTTGTTAGGTCATCCGTCTGCCCGAAGGGCAGGTATGCTCTACCCCCGCGACTCCGAAGGGGTAGCCACCCCTCCCCCTCCCCCACAGGTTTGCTATTTAAGTCCCCGGGGGGTTTGGGGGCCGAGCCCCCATCCAGCGAGGGGTCCGCAGGACCTCGAGTTTGGCGACCGGAGTCGGTAGGCGTAGGGAGCTTCAATAGACTTATGTTACTCTAACTGGCGACCGGAGCCGATAGGCGAAGGGAGGCACTATATACTTATGTAAACAGGTGAAGGAGTGAAAACACAAATTAACTATGCATACAGACTCGTAACTTTTATTATAAAAATATTCCTCCGCGGGGCATTATAGTAGTGTTGCGCGCATGAGTATAAACGTAAAATCGCAAACTTTGGAAGGTTGTAATTTCCAAAATAATCATTTCCGCAAACTAATTTTTACACCATCGTTTTAAACTCGTCGAAATACATAGGTTTCCGAAAAAAAATCAAAAAAATTCGAGTGGGCGCTAAATTAGAATTGTTCCAATATTTAAACTATATTCGAATACATTTATACATCCTAATTAAATTTAATAATTTAACAAATATTATTTTTTTTTATATCAAATAGCAATGATATTATGCCTACCTATCTAATCTACTAAAATAAATCTATAAAAAAAATTATTTTATCAAGAAAAATAACAGAAATGTTTGTATAATATTGGATTATTTTAACCATAAAAATAAAAAATGTCATAAAGATTATTTTTAAATAAACTAAGGAAAGTTAAGTTATTTCAACTGCCAATTAAACTGGTTAAGTTAATGAGCTGATTATAAAATTAACTAACTAGTTAATGCTAATTAGAATAATAAAGAATTTTGTTTACAAAAAAAAAATTTATTTAAAGCGGGGGGTCGGTTACCGTGGCCCTCACAGTAAAAGCATTTATAATCAAGAAAATAGAAATATGTGTAATGTGCTGTACCTGACAGGGCACTTTGCATTCACCAATGTTAGTCACAATTTATTATAGTTTATTATACTCATGAAAGCATGGACTAAGATATACAGGACTGGACTAGGTAGGAGGGTGTGGAGTGGTTGTCCACGAAATGATATTGAGGAGGCGGTGTACAGGTTTTTTTTTTAATTTTATCAACACTAAGCAGCCTACTTATCCAGTAATGTATTAGTTTTTTTTTTTTGCTGTATCTCTAAATATTGAAAATTGATATATCTCCTGACTTCATCTTAAGTATTCAGACTTCAAAATTAAAATTAAAATGAAATGTAAATATGAAGCAATATACTAATATAGTAATATCACATCGGGTAATATTTTCATAGTTTCTTGTAAATGTTGTGTGATAGTGTTGATAAAATCAAATATCCCCCGTACACCGCCCACTCAATATAATTTCATAAACATGATGAAAATAATATGTTCGTGTCCACTGTCCAGTCCTGTACATAGTATAAGATATAAGAAGTATGATCGAGTTGTAAGGTAATCTTGACGTCGCCTAGTATTTATTGTTGGTTGCCTGTATAAATTATACATTGCCCTTTCAAAAAATATGCGCAGTCTTATCATTGAGCAAACTTCTTATTACTTATGCTTATACCACGATTTAAGATAATATACCAGGGGTGGCCAAATCACGGCTCGCGAGCCGCATGCGGCTCTCGCCACAGTCGTATGCGGCTCGCGGTCTTATTTACAAAAACCAAAATATTTTAATTTTTTTTGTATACATTTATAAAAAAAATGTTTTTATTGTATTTATTTAAGGCTATAGTATTATAATGTATAGAATATAGATTAAATCAAACAAACAAAAAAAATTAATTAATATGAATAATAAATTAAAAAATTAAACATTAAGCTAATTTTGTTTGCGTGGTACTTTTTTCGTGTCTACTTTTTTAGTAAGCTTCTTAAGATCTGGTTGAATTGATGTAAGAGCAATTCTTAGTAATTCTGTAAGATGATCATCAATCAAATTTGAACGATATTTTGACTTAATTATTTTCATTGTTGAATAAAGTGATTCACATGAATACGTCGTTCCAAAAATTGATATCAATTTTACCGCACAGTTTTTAATATTTGGGTATTTTAATATAGAAATACGCTTCCAAAATTCCAATATATCTTTATTACTTTTGTG